GAATCCTTACAGGGACCACAAATTCTGCAGCCAACCTGGCAAAGGGGCCAGAACTGCAGCCTGTGCGGCAGCATCCTACACTGCTATTTGCAACCAATGATACTACTGAGCAAACCTGGTTTTTACTTTTATTACTGAATATGCTGGGTTTTCTGGTTTGTTTTTTGTTTTTTGTTTTTTGTTTTGGTCAGGTCTTTCCATGTAGCCAAGACTTGGCTTTGTAACTTGACACTTCTGCTTCAGCCTCTAGAATGTTGGGATTACAGGTGTGAGGCACCATGTCTTAATCTCTGCGTAGCCTTTTTCATAAGGTTTGCTATGTGTAATTAAAAATACACATAGGCACTACAAGGACTATTTTTATTAAAAAACTTTTCAGAGAAACAAAATTATATAGTGTAAGGTGCCCTCTGCCACCTCCCAATGACTACTCTCTAACACTGCCTTTGGATGCCCCAGATGTATCTACAACAGGTGGGTATGACACTGCCCCCCCCTCCCCGCCCCATCCAGTGCAAAGACGTGGTTTCTCTGTGTAGCTCTGGCTGTCCTGGAACTCACTCTGTAGACCAGGCTGGCCTTGAACTCAGAGATTTGCTTGCCTCTGCCTCTTGAGTGCTAGGATTAGGGCACGTGCCACCAAGCCTGGCCATTTTTACACAATATTATTTTGCATTTTTTCACTAATTACCTTTAGAGTGTTTCACCTCAGTATGTTCTTTTAAAGGAAGGGGCTTGTATTATTTATTATGTATGCAGTGTTCTGCCTGCAGGCCAGAAGAAGGCACCAGATCTCATTACAGATGGTTGTGAGCCACCATGTGGTTGCTGGGAATTGAATTCAGGTGTACTGGAAGAGCAAGCCAGTGCTCTTAACTACTGAACCATGTCTCCAGCCCCAATTTTTAATTAAAATTATTTTGATTTGTGTGTGCACATGTGAGTGGATGCATATGCGCCAGAGCAGAGGTCAAAGGACACACTTTTATCATGGACACCCTGCTCCATGGCAGCTATCTACCTGCTTAACCATTTCACTGATCATATATCAGAGAGACAGAGAGACAGAGAGAGGTTCTTTGTGTGGCCCTGGTTGTCCTCAAATTCTCTCTGCCTCAGACTCAAAGATTTGCCTCTGCCTCCTGAGTGCCTGGGATTAAAGGCATGTGCCACCATCATCCTTTTTTTTTTTTTTTTTTTTTTTTTTTTTTTTTTGAGACAGCATCTTGCTTTGTAGTCCCAGATGGGTCTGGAACCAGGCTGGCCTTCAACTTCCCATCCTCTTGCTTCTGCCTCCTGAGTGCTGGGTCGACAGGTGTGGGCTACCATGTCCCACACAGCTCTATAGTGTGCATGAACCACACTCCATTAGCCGGTTTGGTATCAACTTTTGTGTTGTTACCAGGTTTTCATTATTATGAGTATCTTTTTACACGTTGTATACCCATATGGAGGTTCTATAAGGAAAAGACCTAAGATTGCTGGATTAAAGTTTATGTCAACACTGACAATTAGCTACAACTCATACTCCCACAGTAGTGGAACACTGCCTTTCTGCATACCCATGCCAACACTGAACAGTTATGTGCCAGGCATTGTTCTAAACACAGAACACATATCTGCCTTGTGGCACTGATAGTCTAGAGGAGGTGAATAATATAATATTTACAATATATCCTTCACATGTATTATTTAGTAACCTATGCAAAATACAGAATGCCAGAGGAAGAAGCCAAGAGACACTAGGGGCCAGCTGGGATAAGGATTTGTAGGTGAATGATGGCATTGTATCTAGGACTCAGAGAGAAGGGTCATGAATGGGAACAAAGAAACGACCAGGCTGCTATTGTGAGGATCTAGCTGAGATGGCAGTGGCCTGGGCCAGGGAAGTAACAATGACTCGAAGCAGAAGGGGCCATATTCTGAAAACTTTAAAACTAAAGCTTCTGGGGATTAGGACAGGGTAAAGGAGCAAAGTGGATGGCTCAGTGGGAAAAATGCTCTCCAGGCAAACCTGATAACCCCGGATCCACCCGGTGGAAGGAGGGAGAGAGAACCAACTCTCTCAAGGTAAGTGTTGGAACTTATTAAAATTTAGCTATTTCATTTACCTTCTAGTAAATCATCTTATTTCAGTAAGAAATCCGACTTATCAGTGAAACCAACTGAGAGACAACAAGGCCATCTACAGGCGAGCCCAAGCTAAGACAGGTAGTTGATCAAAAGGAAAATCAGTTAACAATGTAGCAGCTGGCTAGGTAAAGTAGACTTCCACGGCTCTTCCCTCTTCTACCCTGTGAAGCTGGACGAGGGGTCTTTTCTGCAAGGTTCCTCCAGCCTCTGGGGTCTGCTGAGATCAGTAGACAGTTCCAAGCCCTTTGCAGACTCATTACCATTCAAATATGCCTCAGTTGAATCCACCCAGGGTATTAGGGCTTTTCTTTTTTCAACTCTAATAAACAGCCTTGAGGTTAAGGGAAAAGGGGTAAGACTAGCTTATTTTAGTGAGAAAGGACCTCAGAAAATTGCTGGGAAAACTAAATCTTGCTGAGTCTGCCTGGTTTAGCAATACATCTGTGTCTCACAAAGGCCCTGGGACCCTTCTAGGGAAAACCAGACATAGGCTGAATGTGGCATCTGACAGAGCTCTACTGAAATAGGCAGAAAGAATGGTTAATCATGTAGCCTTCCTGATTGTTTTCAGAAGCGGACTCACAACATAAACTTCACTGCTAGGAACTGAGCAATAGCCAGATCTGCCCATCGAAGTTTTTGTGTAAGATCCCAAAACCTGGAGAGAGGCTGTCAGAATGAGCAGGAAGACATTAGGAAGGACCAGAGTGTGGCCTTTCATAACCCTGTTGTGCTGAGCTCAGCTTATTCCTCATCCAACCCCTTCATAAAGGCTATCCACATCGTAATTTATGCGGGCTACAAAAAAAAAAAAAAAAAAAATTGAGAACATACACTGTTTCTACATGTATACTCACTTCAATATACATGTTAACTTTTGCTTTGGTTTTTCGAGACAGGGTTTCTCTGTAGCCCTGACTGTCCTAGCACTCATTCTATAGACCACGGAGGTCCACCTGCCTTTGCAGTTGTGGGATTAAAGGTGTGTGCCACTGTGTGTGGCACAATGCTTTGCCTGAACCTATGTCTATGTACTACATGCATGCCCAGTGCCCTTGGGGCCAGAAGTATTGGATGCCCTGGATGAAGAGTTACAGATTGAGCTGCCAGTGCTTTCTCAATTGCTGAGTAACCTAGAGTGCACAGTATTGTTTTCTTCAGTTAACATTTTAAGCATTCTCCCAATTGTCAAGTATTCCTCACAAAAGATAATGGTTTGTTTTTCTGAGACAAGAGTCTTATTGGGTAGCTCTGGCTGTTCTGGAACTCACTATGTAGACGGCTTGTCCTTGCCTTCCAAGTACTAGACTGAAAAGGTGTGTGCAATGACACCTAGCATGATACGGGCATTTGAAAACATAATTTCATTAAACAAGCATTTTTTTTTTTTTTACTAGACAAAGCTATTCTTAGATTTGCATTCTAATTTTTGACTGAGGCAGAGATTTAAGAGTTATATGCTTTTCATGGTGAAGTTCATTTTACTGTTCTTCCAGAGGGTCAGAATTTAATTCCTACCACCCACATGGTGGCTCATAAACATCTCTAATTTAACTTCAGTTCCTGGGAATCCATTGCCCTCTTCTGGCTTCCACAGGCACAAGCAAGTGGTGTACAGACATATACACAGACAAAACACCCACACATTAGGAAAACTAAATGACCACCTTTGAAAAGAATAGAATTTTATTTTTAAAATAAGAATTTTAGATCTTCAATGTAAATCAAAAGTACAGGAAAGCACAAAAAAAAATCCACATTTTGACAGTTTTTTTCTTTTAGAAACATGTAAACTCAATACCAGACTATACATATACAGGCAAAAACAGCAATACAATTTAAATAAAAACTAAGAAATATGTAACATTCTGTAAGAAATGTCACTCTGTACAGTTAATGATCAAACTTTCTCTTAAATATAAGTAGTCCCCCATTTTCCTACTGTCCTGTAAAAGGTGACCAGTTTTCTGTGTAAGGGTGTAGTCCATCTCCATCAGAACCATGGTTCAAGGAGGGGAGCTGCTCTGCCTTGTCACAAGAGTTCCAGAACCATTTGTGGAAACACAAATCTGATCAGCCACTTCCTGCTGTTGGACATGTGACTTGTTTCAAATCTTCTCTTGGATAAACCCTAATTGACCAAAAGCATCCTGAGTGGCTCTGATGCCTTTGTAGACTCAGTTCCCAGAAGTGAAATTTATTGGGGCAAGGATATGCCTCTAAAAATATTTCAAATAGTCACATAATTTCCTAAACAGTACCCGAGAGGTACAAAGGACACAATGTGAGACTATGTCCATAATGCAAACACCTGAGGCTAGCACTTTACATCATCTCCAGCAGAGTATTGTGGTGCCAGTTCCCCTAGTTTTGCTGTCTGTGCACCCATACCATACCAATTATGCATGCTGCCTTTTAATTAAAACATTACTTCCCATTGCTTCTTTCCTTGGTGTCAGGATTGTTTCTGGGGTCTTTTCTACAGGTACAGCTTCTTAGGAGGCCAGACTTATTCTGTCAATGTGCTGAGTTCTATAGCAACTCAACTTTGTAACCTTGCACTCACATATAATCTTTCAATTCAATTAAAGAAATTTATTCCCCAAATATTTTTTTTTATTATTCCCCAAATCTTAACAGTTTATTTTTGTATCTGTGTGTGTCACATGTGAGGCTTGGGACCAGAGGCCGTGGGAGGCGTCAGATGTCCTGGACCTGGAGTTACAGATGTTTATGAACTGCTAGGGAACTGAACCTGGGTTCTTTGCAAGAACAAGTGTGCTTCTGGAACTTCACAGAAGCTTTATGTGTCAGCATGTTCTTATGACCCCCTCCCCTCCCACTTTTCCCAACTCACAGCCACTTAGAAATGGCTTGCAGACAGCAACAAAATGAGCTGGGTTGCAGTTTGTAGACCTGTAACTTACTGGAGCATGTTCCCCACAGGAGCTCACGATGGAGACAGGTGCCTGTCCTTGGCTCCCCTATTTGCACTTGCTCCCAAATACAGACCAATGCCTTTGTCTAATACTCTTAAGAGTCTGTTTAAATGGTAAGGAAAAACTTTCTGTTGGATTTACTAAAAGACAGATTGTTGGTTTCAGGTGGGTCACATTTAGTGAACAAAGAAAACTTAAAATTTTCTCAGGGGTGAGTTACATAAAAATGTCCCATTATGCACTAATTTTTAAATCCAGCTTACATAAGTGATTTGTATTTTTGCTCCTTACAAAAATGCTATACCTGCCGTTACAGTATGAACTCAATAATCAAATGCAGATAGAGGATGGGGGAAGGACAGAGAAAAAAGGAAATTAAGCAAATCACATTGTAGACAACAGGCAAAGGCATGGCTTCCAGCCAGTCCTAGTCTCCCACACTAACAGACACACCCAGTTGGTAGAAAGGAGTACCAAACTCCCTTAATATAAAATTCCCCCATGGAGATGACATTAAATTTACAACACCAGAAAAAGACAGCAGTGACTGAACTGTCACAGAATGTTCTGTTACAACAGCCACAATAATTAGGGGAGAAACAGCCAGAGGCTTCAGTAGCATGAACAATATAGCAAATAAAATAAGGAAGGACAAAAGTCAATCCTTGATACACTCTCAAAGATAGATACAGATCTTTTAATTTCAGATGGAGTGTTTATTCATGGGGAAAGCAGTTAAAACATTCCAGAGACTTTCTTAGTTCATTAAAAAGCCATCAGGAAGATTCTGGAAACATAAAAGACACAGACTACTGTTCCCTTTCCTTTGATTCACATGAATCTGTCTCTTTAACTTCTTTAGGGGGCCACTGTGTGTATTATGTACATAGCTCAGGCTGACCTTGTAATGTAGCTGAAAATGACCTTGAACTCCTCCTGATTCTTTACCCTCGGAGTGCCAGGGAAGCCCTGTACTGTACCTGATTTATGTGGCACAGGGCACCGAACTCAGGACTTTGTGCATGGTAGGCATGTGCCCTACCAATCTAGTGGCAACTCCAGCACCCAAGAACACTTTAATTCCACTGTCGTAAGATTCCTCAGAGAGTAAAGAAGAGTGAAGAGCTCAAAGAATTTGATGACCACTAGGAGTTAGGAATTCTGGTTGCTGGTTCACAATCACTGCTGGGAGGAAGACACTATTTCCTATTAATAAACCTTGAGGTAGTGACACACCAGACATAAACTCCTTCTTCCCACTGAGATAACAGCAGAGACTGAGAAATCCCATGTGGATCATTATTATACCTACGAGGTATGACAAACACATTCCTGCTTGCATCGGGCTGGAACTGGACTTGGTCTAACACTTCTCTGAGCACACTGTCATCAGTTTACTTTCTAAGATGCGTCCAGGCAGCAGCATGTCAGATGACTCCTTCCCTGCTCCTATGTGTGGCTTACCTTGGGGCTAGACTGCATGGCAACACAAGCCTGCCCTGACACAACCCTTAAGTCTTAGGTATCAGGATTCAGCCTCGCCCGTTTTACTGGGCTATTCTGGTCATCCAGATGGCACAAACCATCTGTAGTAATGTCTCTTTTTGTCTCCTCCGTGGGCTCTAAAGGGAAGTTTTGGTCTGTGGCCAGTACCTGTCTGACAGTCATATTAACTCGGGCAGTTTTCAAATAGGTGGCACACACCTGCCAGTCTTCGGCAGAACAGGGCTCAACCAGTGAATCGTTAGGGAGGACAGCTGGGAGAGGTGTCTCCAGGCAGTGAGGCAGGCATTCCCCATCAGGATGTGGAAGGACTCGAGGGACTGCATGATTTAACAGGCGGCTGAAACCTGACATCACCATGATATCACCACTGTGCATAAACATGGCTGTAGGCGCCTCATCTCTCTTGAGGCCACCCAGGAGAAAGATGGCAGACTGTCCAAAGCTACAAAAGGTAAAAATAGAAGTTTCTGATATTAGTTATACCCATGAAAGTTACTGCCAACTACGTTCATGTTCATTTCAGACCGACACTGATTGAACTCAGGTTGGGAGTTGGTGGTAGACACTTTCCCCTGCTGAGCCACCACGATCCTTTAGGTTGTAGGCTTGCAGCAAAAGCCTTTCCCTGATGAGCCATCTCACAGGCCTCACCCTACTGTTGTTCCAGACAGGATCTGTCACTGAGCCTGGAACCCAGCATTCACTGTTTCTTTCTCCTCTCTGGGATTACAGGCATGCTCTGCTTGGGTTGAGGGTCTGAACTCAGGTCCTCATGCTTGTTACTGGCAGCAAGTTACTTAACCAACCAAGCCACCTGCTCAGTCCGAAAGCCATCTCTTGTGGCTTGTGATCTGCTCCCCATACATTATTCTGACAGCCCACAGACTTGCTACAAAATAAATTGTGATGCAGCAGATATGTAAAGCAAGAACTGATTTCAACATTATCTTAAGTTTTATTGATGCATCTTTTCTTAAAAATTTCAGTATTTCAATAAAATCATGGGTCATTTACTATGTTTCTAAATTCTTCACTCCCAAGATAATTAACAAAAGTCCTCTTCTTGTTGAGATTTATGGACTCGGTACATACACTAAAACTTCCGTTTAGGGGGCTAGAGGGTCAATTACTCAAGCTTTGTGTTTTACTTGTATTTTGCTCCACCTTTCCAAAAAGGTTGGTTCAATTTGCTTTATGTCCTTTAACTTGTTTAACCAACCCCAAATTCTTGGAATTCAGTTACCTGAAGGACAGCAAAGGTTTGGAGTGATCTAGTTCAGATCTGTCCACATGGATCCCAAGTGTGGAGTCTAGGCGGTAGTAATTCAGGATACCTGCTTCTGCTTGGAAGCCCTGATATCCGCAGGCAGCAGCAACTTGCTCTGAGAGGAAAGCCAGGTCAGAAGGGAAAGGTGTATAATGATCTGCTGAGTATTTCTTTGGTAAAAGCAGAGAAAATAAGAAAAAATAAACAATGATCTCAGAACATAGGAAATTGTGGCATAAAATTCTTTAAGCCACTAACTACTATTAACACAGGTACTTATGAAGCTTTCTACTCCTTCACCAGTGGCTACTACTCAAGAAAATGTCTCTTTCCGCCCCAGGAGGACTGGGGTTCTGTGAGATCCTTCTCCTAAAGGCTGTTTTATTAAAAGAAAAACTACAGTCACCTTGCAACCTGACTTGGCATCTATCTGCCTGGTCAATCTGATGGGGTGAAATGCTCAAAACAGCCAAGGTAGGACTGCCTTTTCCAGCCATTTATATTCTTAATTTGCATCTTCTTTCCTTCCTTTTTAGCTTTTTGTTACTAGATTTCTCTGTTAATCGCTCTGGCTGTCCTGGTACTTGCTCTGTAGACCAGGCCTCGAACTCACAGAAATCACCTGCTAATGCTGGGATTAAAGGCCCATGCCACCGCTGCCCAGCCCGCCTGCTTTAACATCCATGCTCCACCAGAGTGACTACAGTTGGGGCTGTGCGCATCTGTAGAGATTGGATGATTCTTTGCTCTCACTTCTCCTGTGCCAATGTAAACCAAAATCTTAGCAGAAAACCCGGTTTTTGTCTTAAAATTCCACCAGTGTTCTGGTATAGCTAGTTGAATCAAGTCAGAAAACTGGCTGACGTACTCGACTAACTGTAGGTGCAGAGGAAAAAAAGAAAGCTTTTCTGTGGGGTCTGTGTGGGTAGCCTTCCCTGTTTGGCTGGAACTTCTGTTTTTAGTGCTTTTCTTCCTTTTTTTTTTTAATTTATTCAACAACACTGTATAAGAAAGGTTTTTACTTAATTTTTTGTTTGTTTGAAATAGGTTATCTCTGCATAGTCCTGACTTCCTATTTAATTCTTAAACTGGAAGGTGTGGTTAGACAGTATAAAGTTTCCTATATTATTTTAAGCTTTGGTCCTTTAGAAAATAAGTTGGGGGTATGGGGAGTGGAGAGGGCTGGAGAGATGGTTCTGTGTTTAAGATCATTAGCTGCTTTTCCAGAGGACATAGGTTCAATTCCCAGGACCCATATGGCAGCAAACAACTGTCTGTAACTCCAAGATTTGAAACTCTCACAGACATACATGTAGGCAAAACACCAATGCACATAAAATTAAAATAAACTACATAAATGAACTATATAAATAAATAAATAAAATCAGGGCCACTGTCTTACAGTTTTGTGTTCAGGGTTCTTTTTAACTGTCTACTATGTATTTTTAAAAAATGTATACACACACACTTAGTTTTTCTTATTTTACATATCGATCTTGGTTCCCTCTCCCTGCCATGCCCCCCCTCCACAGGGAGGGTGATGCCTTCCAGGAGGGGTCAACAAAATCTGTCAAGTCATTTGGAGTAGGAACTAGGCCCTTCCTCCTGCCTCTAGGCTAAGGGAGTATCCCTCTATGGGGAATGGGCTCCCAAAGTCCTTTTATACACCAGGGATACATCCTGGTTCCACCGTCAGAGTTCTCTTAGACTCCCAGGACTTCTGAGACCCATGTTCAGGGGGTCTAAGTAGGTCCAATGCTGGTTTCCCAGCTATCAGTCTAGAGGGTCCATGAGCTGCCCCTTGTTCAGATCAGCTGTTTCTGTGGCCTCTTCAGCCTGCACTTGACCCCTTTGCCTATCACTCCTCCCTCTCTGCAGCTGGATTCCAGGAGTTCGGCTCAGTGTTTAGCTGTGGGTGTCTGCTACTAGATGAGGGCTCTATGATGGCATATATATTTTGATAAACTTTCCTTCCCATTTTCATTTTTTTGCCTTTGCTTTTCTCTGAATACTTATGTAGTTTTTGATAATTTCACTTCTCATTCTCTTAGTAAAGAAAGGGTAACTTTAAGGTACATAAAAATAGTTGTAGCATGGCTGAGCATTGGTGGATCACACTTTTAATCCCAGCATTTCAGAGGCAGAGGCAGGTGGACAGATCTCTGAGTCCAAGGCCAGCCTGGTCTACAAAGTTGAGTTCCAGGACAGGTTCCAAGGCAATACAGAGAAACCCTATCTTGAAAACCAAAACCAAACCAAAACAAACAAAAAATAGTAAGAGCAGATGCCAACATCATTAAAAGTACTTAGTGTCTTTTTTGGGTTAGGGCAGCTAAGTGCTTAGCACATCAAGGTGCTGCAGTAAAGATTTACCAGTCAAGTACTCCAAGCTTTTAAAGATTGAAGTACATGTACCTATGTCTGTACTATGTTTGTACCTACTGCCCACAGAGGCCAGAAGAAAGTTCCAATAACCTGGGATGTAAGGATGGTTGTGAGCATAGGTGTTGGAAATGAAGCTGGGCTCTTTGTAAAAGCAACAAATGTTCTTAACCATTGAACCATCTCTCTAGCTCCTAATGTAATTTTTCGAGACAGGGTCTTGGTACACAGTCCAAACTGGCTTTGAACTAGTGTGCTTTCTGTCTTAGCCTCCTGAGATAACAGGTAGGGTTACAGATGTGTGCTACCACTTCCAGCTCTTCAAGGGATATTTAAAGGAGGCAATAAGCCATAGCCACTCCCTTAAATGGTCTGTTCATGCTCCTGACTGCCTTTGCTATGGCAGTAGTATTTCAAGTTTGTTCAGGAAGAAATCCAACTACACGGGCCCAAAAACCTATAAATGTAAAACAAATACCTTACTGTCCCAGTTATAATGGTACCCCAGGGTGACCCAGCGGAGTCTCTCTAGTAAACTTCGGGGTCTCCGTTTATTCACTTCTTTAGACCTGCAAAAATTGTAAACAAGAGAATTTAGTCACCATAAGCAGCATCAACAATCCTTTCTATGTCTACGCATTTAGTCTAAGCTGTTAACCAAGGCTTGATAAACAGCCTTAAGAGTATTAAGACCAGAATTGAGGTTTTTGTTTGTAGAGTCAGAATCTTACTATGAAGGCCTGTAGTCTAGAATGGCTTCAAACTCTGCCTGCCTCTGCTTCCTGAGTGCTGTGATTAAAGGTGTATAACATTGCTCCTAGCTTGAAACAGAGAGGTTCTAGCATTCAACCAATCTTTGGCCAATTACCCAAAATAATTTCCAATGTTTTCAAAAATGCACTGTTCTAATTATTGGCTTTCACAGCAAACAGAAACCCGTTACACTCTGTCCTCGCTGCTTCCTCCGGGAATTAGCAGGATGATGGATGAGTGGGCTGGCCACCCAGTTTTCTGTTTTTATCATGGCTAAGGAAGTGCTTTATGTAAGTGTAGGCATTTTCCTCAGCAATCATGTTATAATACCATTGCTTTCAAGTGAACCCTAACTGTGAGGAAATGGACTGTCTAGCTGTCCATTCTGCAGTGGGCAATCTGGGCCCAAAAGGAAGCATTGCATTTTCTTATAAAAAAGATGAAATCGAGAGCCATTAACCTATGACAAAATAATGTCAGCATACTACTGTAAGGCTTTTTCATTCTTCATTTTTATTTTAAGGCATGGTAACTTTCTTTCTAACTATTTCCTCAGAGGCTACAGTTTCTTCCCATCCTTCCTTTCCACTGAAACCGGTCTTTACTTTCTTTGGATTTATTAATTTAATGTGTATGCATGCTCTGTCTGCATGCATGTTTGTGCATTATGTGCACCTGGTACCCAGGGAGGTCAGAGAGGGTATCAGATACCCTAGAATGGGATTTATGAATGGCTGTTAACTACTACGAAGGTGCTGGTGCTAGAACTTGACCCTAGGTCCTCTGGGATATCAGCAAATGCCCTGAATCACTGAGCCATCACTTTAGCTGATCTTTAATTTTCTGTCCCCACAGTCATGCTCAGTTTTCTCAACCTGAATCTCTTAATCACAAGTGAACATTTAGTGTTACCATCACCGCTCACACCCCTTTTGCCTCACTTAGTCTGCTTTATACCTCTAGGCACTTCAACATCTTAGCTTTGTCCATGTCTGTTTAAGGTGAATGAGAAATACAGGCACAATCAAATGATGCAGGCATCTGTCATAAGTAAAGTACTTTAAAACCTAGTCCTTGAGAGTCAGTCACCACTTAGTGTCTCATTTCTATAGTTAGATGCTGTGGTGGCGGTGGCATGGATTTTTACAGACACACACACACACACACCTCAGAAGCTACACACACACACACACACACACACACACACACACACACACACAGTATCTCAGAAGCTACACCTAAAAACCAAAGCTAAGCTGCTTTACTTAGAGTTACATTTTCTCCCCTTATATTTTTTGTTTTGAGGCAGGGTCTCTCTGCATGGTGGCACACACTTTCAATCTAATCATAGTACTTGGGAAGCAAAAAGAGGCAGATGAATCTATGAGCCAGGCCAACATGGTCTACAGAACTAGTTCCAGGTCAGCCCGGGCTACATAGGGAAATCCTATCTCAGAAAAACAAACAACAAACAAATACAGCAGGAATCAGTATTTAAGGATCAGTACAGCAGGCCAGGGTAGCTGTAGAGAAAGAAATGATAAAGCACAGTAGGAAATGAATAAAAAATATCATGGAGCCAGACTGGACTACCTTTGTCTTACAAGGCATAATTTTAAATTTCTAAAAACATGATGATGCTAAGCATAGTGGCATACACTTTTAATCTTAGCACTTGGGAGGCAGATGCAGGAGAATCTGTGAGTTCAAGATCAGCCTGGTCTACAAAGTAAGCTCCAGGACTACATAGAAACACTATTATCAACACACACATGCATATAACAACAACAACAAAAACCCAAACCCATGATGGTGTCATATAACGAAGGATTTGATTAGTGGTTTGCTTTGGGTCTGGGAAGGAAATTTCTTTTTTATCCCTAGTCCTGGGGATAAAAACTCAAGAATCTTATGCATGTTGGGCAAGTCACTGAGCCACAACCACCCTAAACCCTCAGAATTTCCTGATAGAAGTCCTGTTAATCATGGTGGCTCCTTGCATCACATCTGGGTTTATGCTAAGGAGTGATTTAGAATGTTGGCTGGTAATTCTATAAAAGTCAATCATGTGATTAGAGGAGTGAGAATTTATGGTATTAGTTGGACTTCCAGAATGAGTGGGACCTCAAGACTGAATTCAATCATGTGGCTAACAGCTTGTGTCTATCTGGGTGTAAGTGTCCCCTTTTCTATATATGTGAATGAGCATGCCCATGGAGGCCAGAGGTCAACTTGGGTGTCATCCTAAGGAGGTGTCCACCTCTCTTTTATTTGGTAGTATCTCTCTCAGTGAAACACAGGGTTCACTAATTAGACTACCAAGTGAGTCTCCCAGGGATGTCTGTTCCTACCTCCTTAGCACTGGGATTATAAACGCCACCATTTTTTTTTTTTTTTTTTAAATGTGGGTACAGTTGTCAGGCAGTGTTGGTGCATGCCTTTAATCCCACACTCAGGAGGCAGAGGCAGATAAATCTCTGAGTTCAAGACCAGCCAGGGCTACACATGGAAACCCTGTCTTGAGGTACCCCCTCCTCCAAGGGTGGGCATAGGGATTGAATTCAGTCCCTGAAGTTTGTGGGACAAGAACTTTACCAACTAAGCTATCTCCCCAACCCCAAACTCTTTTTTTTTTTTTTTTTGGAGACAGGGTCTCTCTCTGTCCTGGAACTTACCAAATATGCTGGTGAGCCCCAAGAATTTGCCTGTCTGTGCCTCCTCAGTGCTGAGATTATAAGTAGGCAAGGCCATGTCTGGCTTTTTTTCCTCTTCCTTTTAATTAAAAGAAAACAAAACACATGGGTTCTAGAGAACTGAACTCAGGTCCTAAGTCACCTACATAGTGTACAGGACTAATGATTTAATTAATTGTGACCATAAAACAAAATGCATCCCCCTCCCCAAATCCCAGACACTAAAACTTGGGAGCTCACTGGCTGGTACAAACACCAATGTGTCAGGATAAATGCCCTGACTCCATAGTGAAGGACACACAAAGCACTATACCCTGGTCTCAGTCTTAATTGCCCGGACCCAACTTTGTGCAACTCGAAGCACAGTGTTTCCCTGAGTCCTAGGAGCTGATGTAGTGAATCATAGAACAGCAAGGACTCATAAAAATGCCCCTGAAGCTGTAATCAATGGTCACAAGTATAAGTAGCCTACAAAGACCCCAAACCTGATGTTTGAAGTCAAGTTTGTGCAAACTCTGTGTGGCTTCATCCGAACTGAACTCCAGATGAGAAACTGTGACAAAATTGACATGACTTCTACATTCTATGTAGAAAAAACTTGAAAAGGGGTTAAAAAACGGATTGACAGAGGTGGCTGGGTTAAATACATTGAGAAATCATAGTTTAATCTGACTCTAAAGCCTACTTTGTTTCCAACAGATGGAGTTAAGGTCTTTTAATGGCTATAACCTACTTCTGGGGCAGGCCATGACTGCTTAATCTGGTCTCCTGCTGATGAACAAGGCTGCAATAAAGGTGTGTGAACTTTTTGCATACACCCACACCACACTGAAGAATCAGGTACTTAGCTATACTCCCAGTCCTAACTGTCGTTTTGTCTAAGATTCTCCAGCTATACCATCCCTGAACAAAGCACAGAACTGAAATGCAATCATTTTGTCAACTCTTATTTTTCTAGTCCATTCACAAGCTATATCTTCACTTGCTATTTAAAATGGCCAGAGGTCTAGGGACATAAAAGCCCAAGGATCCTAAGGCCCTCTTGTTCCTGGTTCTCAATGTTGGAGGATGTGGATAATCAGAAACTCTGGGGGAAGAACCCAAACAGTAGACCCTCTCTACTCTAACAGACTTTGAAGAGGAGAGTTTTATGTGTTTCTCACAGGACTCTGACAGACCATGACTCAAACACTTGGGCGGCTTATCCCATCCAACACCTTTATTTTCCACATGAGGGAATGGAAACATAGATCACAATGTGACAGGATGGGAACTAGACACCTAATCGATTTTCAATGTTGCCAGCGCAATGTCTCAGACTATCGATTTCTTCCAGCCTTGACAACATAAGGTATAACACCAGCATTTATATTTTTGCTAATTTATTAGACAAAAAAAAAGTAGCTTCCCATTATCTATTGAATGATACATTAGAGGTTCATCTCAACTCTCTTAGAAGGCAGCTGTGATTTCTATAGTCATATACCAGAAGGCAAAGAATATTACTTGAAAATACAGGTAGATATAGTAATACTGAACACTAACTTTATCCCTTATACTGTCTTTAGTTTTAACAGTAGCACTGAAGTCTGAAGGTTACCTGTACTGCTCCTACATATACCTTAAGCCACAGACCTAGGAGGCTTTAAAGGACACACACTAAATGTTAGTTATTCTTTCTCCTTTGAACCTAATATAATCTTTTATTTCCCCCATTAGAATCAGCATGAGTTTATGGCATGAAGAGCAGATATGTCACCAAGAGGATACACTTTCAACAAGCATCTCCTAAAGATCTCTCATATATGATCACAGAATATGCAAAACAACTTGCCCAAGGTTATCTAGCCACTACCTGGGAAGACAGGCAGTCTGACTTCAGAGTTGGTCTACAGTGTGAAACCCTGTATAATTTGGTCCTACCCCATCCACCACGATCACTTACCGTTTCGTCTACCCTATGCATGACTTCCAGCATTTTCTATAAATTACTCCAACCCTGCCATATCAGTAACGATTCTCACGATAAAGTTTAAATTCTAAACTTGTAACTGATAACGTATCTATTTAAATGTCTTTATTCTTCACATTTTTACAGAAATCATAGAAGACAACAATTGTTTTTGACTTTCCCCCTTAGAACTGAAATAAAGAAATAGGTTAAATATCACCACTCTCCAGCATGAACACTGTCAAGAGATGGAAACAGAATGTTGGAGTACTGCAATTCACCCAGCTACTGATTAAGCTGGTTAGAACTTGCATGAACTCCAATTACTCTTGCATACGCTGTCCCCCTTGCCTGGCCACAAGTTGGATCAGGCAAGGTCTACGGATATGCCTAGGGAATGTTTCCTATCTTTGGAATTTCTAACACTAATACTCCAACGCACACACCCTGTACTCCTATTTCACAGAACATACTGTCTTAAATACTATCTCTGCTCAGTCTGATGAATACTCCTAGCCAGACTTTTTACTATTCTGAACGGCAAATCCCTAATCATTTTGAAGAATAACTGGGAGTGGGGGAGAGGAGATTAATAGATACAATTCTTAAAAACTGCATTTAAAAAAAAAAAATCACCCTTTCTTCTTGGATACTTCATCCTGCTTGGACGAATTTATTATTATTATTTCCTCCCCTGTTTCCCACCATTATAACATTTTCTCAGCTCTATTGTGATTACTCCTGTACCTAATTCCTGAGCCTAAGGAAAGTATCATGTTACACTTGTGTCTCCAATACCTAGCATCATGCTTGGTACCCAACTGATTTCTCCAATGAGTATTTGTGGAATGAATGCTGAAACATCAAGATCCAAACACTAGCTCTTCCATGAGCAACAACTCACCCATCATAAAAGAGCCAGCAATGGCAACTTCATGTAGATATTTTCCTCACAAGTCTTTAAAGGAACACTTTGAATAAAAGCAAATCATGTGAGGATGAATGTGGATGAACTCATTTTCTATGCTAAGACTCTTTAATGGATCTCATTTAACATAACTGTCAAAGCACCTCCCCAAATGTTCTTAGTTGGAAAAGAACAGAACACTGCTGTACAGTAATGAGGGTTAAAACCTAATGCACCCACTTTTACAGCATTTGTTCAAAGCAACTTCTTCAAGGCTCTTCCTCTGGCTGCTTAGACTTACCTTAGGAACTCTTTGCTCTGTTCCCACAGACTTTGGGTCTCTTCCTTAGCCATGTGTTTGTCCAGGTTACATACATTAGGTTTCTGGGAGTACAACTTAAGGCACTGTTTTATCCAGTGCCACTGGCATCCTGGGAGGAATGGATTTGGGATGAAAATAAATCCTATAAAAAGAAGATGGGGGGGGGGAAATTTGCAATTGTTCTGTTTCTTTTTTAATATTTTTATGCCCACTGTTCTGTCATCTACTTCCCATATCCTTTGGTTCTGCTTAAAGTTAATGAATAATGAAGTTCAGATGGACAGGAGACACCATGTAAATACCTTGGGAACGTCCTCAAGAGGAACAAAAAATTCACAAGATTAGCTGTCAACGGTATTGTCCTAAGGCAACTTTAGAACTGAAAGTTCATCTTTAGATTTTTTTTTTTAACTTTAACCTTTATTTTATGTGCACGGGGGTGAAGGTATCAGATCCCCTGAAACTGAACCCAGGTCCTCTGGAAGAACAGTCAGTGCTCTTAACCGCTGAGCCATCTCTCCAGCCACTCATCTTTAGATTTTCACCAGGTACCAATTATAGTCACCCAAGACACCTCCAAGTCTGTTTTTCTTATTGCAGGTACAGAAAGCTACTCTAACACTTGATATAATTAATCATAGGTCTTCATCTAGTAAACAGAACATTAGTTATTAGTCTATTTTGTTTCTCAGCTTCAAATCCAGCTTTCTTGAACTTACACGTACCTGTGACTCCAACACTTTTTTCCTGCTTTCACAGTGCACATTTGTGTACACGCTAAGTCCAGTAACCCCTCCCACACACGCACACAAGAAGAAATAATATTGTAGCACTTCCAAAACGTATCGTATCAGCTGGAGAGATGGCTCAGAGGTTAAGAGCACTGGTTGCTCTTTCAAATTCCCAGCAACCATATGGTGGCTCACAAACATCTACAGCGAGATCTGGTTTCTTACTCTGGCCTGTAAGCATACATGTAGGCAGAACACTATATATGTAATATATGTAATAAATAAATCTTGTGTAGACCAGGCTGGCCTCCAACTCAGAGATCCACCTTCCTCTGCCTTCTGGGATTAAAGGCATCTACTCTTTATTGTGATGGTGACTGAACTAAGACCCTAAGCATGCCAGACAAACACTACCACTGAGCTATATCTCTGAGCTTCTTTTATGAGTTACAAATCTGTTTTTCTTTAATTTGCATTGTTTTGGGGTTCTGAAACACTCAACTCCAAATCAATTACCCCCCACTACTTTAGAGATAGGATCCTGTTAGTGTAGTTGAACTGATTCATTGCATCACTTACTTTGCTTGCTTTGAGGCAGGGTTTTGCTATATAGCCTGGACAAGCTTTGTATTTGTAGTGATCCTCCTGCCTCTCATCTTGAGTTAGTTCTGGGGTTATTATAGGCATGTACTACCATGTCTGTTCCTAATCAGCTTTTCATTTTACTTACTGACATACCAATGGCTTCAAGTTAACATTTACAGACAACTTACATGTCAGACATCTTAATCTTTTAAAAAATAATTTATTTTATGTGATTTGGTATTTTGTCTGTATGTATGTCTGTGCGGGTTGTCAGATCTTGGAATTACAGACAGTGTTAGCTGTCATGTGGGTGTTGGGAATTGAAACTCAGGTCCTCTGGAGGAGCAGTCAGTACTTTTAACCATTGAACCATCTTTCTAGGCCCCCATCACAGTCTCTTAAAAGATTGATTTTTTAATCATAGGTATATTGTGTATCCAGCAATGGTGTCAAAGCTACTTTTGAGCTGTGAACTGAACTCAGTCCTCTGTACAATAAAATGTACTCTTAACCACTGAGCTTCCAAACTTCAGCCTAAACTTATGGTGGGCCCTATTTTTATACTTACCTTCACATCTCATCTCCCACCCCCCCCCCCACCTCCGCCAGTCTTTTCTTTCCCAGACTGTTTCCTCCAGTAAAAACAGGTTTTGGTACACAGAGCTCCTTTAGAATAAGTAGGATCAAGAAGTAAATAAAACCGCCTGATCACCCTAATAGGAGACTTTCCCATACTTCGTATATTATACTTCTATTCAATGCAGCTTACAATGGTTTTGAAAGTGGGCCTGAATAGCTTGTATCTGGAACAATCTATATGGCAACAAGGCCCATGTCATCAGAAAATTGTGACCTTGAAAATGGTGGTTAAGAGTTAGAAGGGTAAAAGCAGCCTCTTAGGGGGGTTGGAGAGATAGGCCTGCATTTGTTGCAAATACATACACATATAGATAGAAGTCATACATATTAAATAAAAATAAATACACTGAGGTTGGAGAGATGGCTCGGCAGTTAAGAGCATATACTACTCTTGCCAGTACCAATGTCAAGAGGCTCTTTTGTCTGTAACTCCTGTTCCAGTGATGTGGCTGGCGTCCACTTTTGAGTTGCTCTATTCTTTGGAAGCATTAAGCAGACAACTCAGAGAAGGCACAAACAGGCCCCAGGGTGGGGCATTAATGTGTGTTTAGGCATGTCCTGGTTTATCTACTCACCACTCACTCATTCCTAGGAATTCAATGATTGTACTTACCGGGGTAGCCTTCAAGTCCATAGGCCTGCCACTTGCTCACAGGCTGAAGTCCCACCCTAGTGGCATCATGGTCAGTCACTGAGGACACATTCAGATGAAATCTGACCACCTGGAGGGAGAGAAACTTAAGTCAGAGGGTGAGTCACCTTAGGGGTCAACCCTGGGAACCTCAGAGCTCCTAAGAGATTTATTTCAACAATGGGTTTTTATCATTAGCTCTTCCATCTATTTGACCTGCGGCCTTAGTTCCCTCATTTATTCTAACACATGTTATATAGTTCTGCAAAATTAAGCAAAGTGGTGATAAGATAGTTAGACTAAACTAGCTTGGGCTTCTTTTTTTTTACTTTCAAGACAACCCTTTTCTATTTACTTTGGTAATTTATTTTCCTTTCTTTCTGAGACAGCGTCTCTGTGTAACAGCTCTGGCTGTATTGGAACTTGCTCTGTAGATAAGAACTCACAGACATCCACCTGCCTCTGCCTCCTTTGTGCTGGGGTTAAAGGTGAGCTTTACCAATGGCTGGCAGAATTTCCTTAAGAAAAGTGTTTGCTGCCTTGGAATATCTTAGGTCTTGATGCTACTTAGTCTGGTTAGTGCTAAAACATTGCTTCTCAGGAAAATATCAGGCAGGAGCAGGCTGAGAAAATGGAGAGTTCTCTAACAAAAAAAAAAAAAAAAAAAAAAAAAAAAAAAAAAAAAGTTATTTCCATAAAACACTAGGGCCCCATTTTGCTGAATGTGTTACCCTTTGATAAAATATTAACGCTAGAACTTTGCTTTTATTATTATTTAAAAAAAGCCTGTGGAGGGGGGAGTAGCTTAGAGATGAGACATTACACTGGTGGAGACCCCATATGTAGCTGGTTGTGGTGTCACACACCTTTGATCCCAGCAGAGGTAGGCGGTTTCGGTTCTCTGTGAGTTCGAGGCCAGCCTGGTCTACAAAGAGAAACCCTGCCTTAAAAACTAAATTAAAAAATTTGAACTAAAAACTAAAAAACAAAACCAATATGCTAACATATGAAATGTAATATATATAAATATAGTCATACATATACATAAATAAAACAAATAGAAAAAACCCACTGCATTCTTCCATGAATAACAGAAGTGGCTTGCCTTAAAATACACTGAATGCTGCTTCCCTCCCCCTCAAGAGAAATGAGCTTCTTTTGTGTTGTTGAGTTTTGGAGACAGGACTTAACAATGTAGTCCTGGCTGTCCTGGAACTCCTGGAACCGCCTGCCTCTGCCTTCCAGTATTAGAACTAAAGGTGTGTGGCACCATGTCTGACTTGAGAAATGAACTTTTGTCTTATCAACTTCCAATTATGGAGGTTTCCTGACAAAATTTCAATAAGTAGGCTCACAACAAATAATTCCTTCCTTTGTGTTCCTGGGAAAATACTCCAACCACAGAGCTACAAGTCCAGTCTAAAACTCTTTAACAGCTACCTGGAACATTCTGAGAGCCTTGACCAGGTCAAGTCTTCTAGTTTCTTATGGCTGATAAAACACTGTCATTCTCCTCTATTTCTTCTTTTGGCTTTTCAAAGACAGGGTTTCTCAGGGTAGCCCTGGCACTGTAGTTGTAGGCCAGGCTGGCCTCAAACTCATTAGTAGCCAGGCTGGGATACAGAATGAGACCCTGTCTCTGCAAAACGGAAAAAAAAAAAAGTTTGTTTTTTTTTTTTTTTTGGTTTTTCGAAACAGGGTTTCTCTGTATTGCTTTGGAGCCTGTCCTGGAACTCGCTCTGTCAACCAGGCTGGCCTCAGACTCACAGAGGTCTGCCTGCCTCTGCCTTCGAGTGCTGGGACTTAAGGCATGGGCCAGCAACACCCGGTGTGCAAAATCAAATTTTAAAAATGTGACTAAGTGGGGCTGGAGAGATGGCTCAGGGTAAGAGCACTGGCTGCTCCTCCAGAGGTCCTGAGTTCAATTCCCATCAACCACAACTATCCATAATGAGATCTGGTGCCCTCTTCTGGCCTACAAGGACACATGCAGACAGAAAGCTGTATACATAGTAAATAAATCTTTTCAAAAAATGTGATAAGGAAAATATACATATATTATTAACACAGCTGTCCCCTTTGCCTTCTCATTATGTTCTCTTTCTTCTTTGGAAGATTAACTGAAATAGGGTATAGGTTGTTTAGATTTACTTTAAATGCATTTTATTTGTTTTTGCCTATGCAGGTCAGAAGGTGTATGATCCGGCGTGCGCCGCCACGTGGGTGCTGGAAGTTGCTCCTAGGCTCTCAGGAAGAGCTCTTAGCTGCTGAGCCATCTCTCTAGGTCCGTTTTTCTAGAGTTTCCCTTGTTTAACAGCTCTGTCTCTCCTGAAAGTCGCTTTGTAGACCACCCTGTCCTCGAACTCACAGAGATCCGCCTATCTGCCTCTCTAGTGCTGGGATTAACGGCTTGCGTCACCACCACCGTCCGGTTTAGATTATTATTTTTTAAAACGCGTATTTGACATTTATTTTCACCGTGGGTGGAGTATCTCCAAATTCTACAGTGCCCTTTTTTTAAGTCTCAGGGAAGGCAGGGCCTTCTTAACGCCCGCGGGCTTTAACAGTTTGACGGTTATTCGACGGCAGGTTTTATTTGAAGCCGTAGAACCCCCCTAAGGCCCCAGATCGTTCTGTCTGCAGGGCTTTACACGAAACAACGAAGAGGCACGGGCGATTTCCAGGCGTTTGTGGGCGAGGCCGAGGGGGCTGGGGAGAAAATGGCGGCAGGAAGAAAGGTGCGGCCCAGCGCTTTGGAGGCGGAGGGCCAGCCCGTGGGCAGCGCGGCCCGGCGCACAGGCCCAGCAAGGGTTCCGCGCACAACCGGGGCGGAGGCGGAGGCGTCCCGCGAGGCCGAGCAGGGCGCCCGGCGCGGCACGCGACTCCTCCCTTCGTACCTTGGGCACGCCGGGCCTCGGGCCTCGGACCTCGTGCGCCGTCGAGAAGTCGATGACCGCTCCCAGGTCCGCCGTCCCCCGCCGGCTCTGGCGGTAGAAGCGGAAAAGTTTCCGGAAGGCGTCCTCTCCAGGTTCTGTGGCCAGCGTGGCAAGCGAAGCCACTGCCGCCGCCATCTTCCTCATCTCCATGCTGCGGACAGTCTGACCCGGAAGCAGAACTCCAAGCTCGGGATCCGGTAGCTCCTTCCGGGGTCACGACCCCTGGTCTCGATTCATTCAGTCTTTAAGATGGCAGTCTCCGCCGTGGGTCGAGCAGTGGCGCTGCGAGTGCGTGCTGGTCAGCATGTTGCTCTTATCAGGAAAATTCCTTGGACCGCGTCGACGAGTGAGTGATGGAGACGAGGAAGCGCGCAATTTTCATGTTTAAGTAGCTCGTAAAAGCTCTGAGAACTTAAGTCAGCATGGTAGATGGGTTAGGTCAGGTGGTTTGCCCTTTTTTTTTTTTTTTTTTTTTTTTAATGGAACTCTTCACGAATTTGCGTGTCATCCTTGCGCAGGAGCCATGCTGGTCTCTTTTTGTAACGAGCACAAGTGGTTTGCTCTTGAGAATCACTGCGCGGAAAATTTCGCTTCCGGTTAACTGTTCAGGGATGACTCCCTCCCCTTCGAATCGACCATACCCAGCGATTTGGAATGATTTGGTGGAAAGATTTATTATTTGCTTCCTTAGACATTTACGATTCAGAGGGAACTATTTTGACTTTGGGGGGGGTGAAGATGAGAAAAGATTTCATTCTGTTCAAACGTGAAAACTTGGAAGCATGTACTTTTTCAAATAAAATTGACAGCATTCGTGCTGGTTTTAGGAGGAAGATGTACATCCAAGATCCCTAGCATAGATGACTTCACCTTTTAAAATTTAAGAGGAGCAAACTGAGAGAAAATGAGGGAAGTTGCAGTGTGAGAATTTGAGCTGCTAGTGAGGTCTCTGGCCAGCGTATGTGGACCGAGATTGTATAATGTGATTGAGAAGCGCACTCTGAAGTCAGATTGCCTGGGTCAGAATTCCAAACTACTCTTTTTAATGTCTGTATACTCCGAATTACTGGTTAATATGGGAAAGGGTCTTCTTAAAAGAGAGCCTGTTTAGTTTTCTAAAAAGTGGAAACAGTAATACCTTGACATGGAAATGTGGAACGGGAGAGTATTAAACGAGTTTATATATAAACTCAGTAGATGTATGCTAGAGCGTAAGTACTTAACTAGTGGTAGTTATTTGCGTGGTTGTTAAAATTGAAGCACAGGGAAGAAAACTAGTCTGGCGATAGAGGGTAGTTAGTCCTAAAATCACTCACCAACTTTGGATTTGTCAGCTGCACTTTAGATTTAGTTTTTATTTATTTATGCATATATATATATATACACATATATATGCATAAATAAATATATCTGTGTGGATATGTGCAGGTGAATGAAGGTGCTCCATATAGTACAGAAGAGGGTGTTGGAACCCTGCTAACATTTGGGTCTTTAGAACTAAACTTGGGTCTTCTGTAAGATCAGTATGCACATTTAAACACTGAATCATTTCCTGTCTTTATTTATTTTGAGACGGGATCTCATACTATATCCTACCTATAGTCTGGGTGCTGGGTTATATGTGAAATACCTTACCGGCTAAATTAAGATTTTTAAATTTGTTCACCCAAACTTAAAATCTAAGATCAGCTCCCTTAAAAGTATAGAATATAGTGATTTCTTAGTTCCTGTTCCATCTTGGCGAATGCCAAATTCACTATAGTGTTCTCTCTTATAATGCTTTCTTTCTTTTTTGTTCTTTTTTTTTATTTTGGAGATAGGGTATCTCTGTGTATCCCCGGCTGTCCTGGAACTTGCTCTGTACACCAGGTTGGTCTCAAACTCACAGAGAGCCTCCTACTTTGGCCTCCTGAGTGCTGGGATTAAAGGTGTGCCAGACACATTCTTTTAAACATTGTAGAAAGGCTGAGGATTTTCACCACATCTAGCAGATTCAAGTTTGCATACCAGAAGGGCTGCCTTAAAAATTTTAAAACTCCAAAACATTGCAACTTTGAAACATTTTTTTTTCTAGTTCATCCTTTTCCTTAAGCAAACACTTAAATGTATCTATGGCATTACTTTTAGTATCCACAGCACACTCTCAGTCTAGAAGTGGTTTCTTTTGTATACTAGCTTCATGTGACTGAATATCTGACATAAATAGTGTAAAAGAAGGAATATTTATATCCTGTTTTCCAGTCCAATTTCACCCAGTCTTGTTTGGGTTTGTCTTGGCATAGTATATCATAGTGGGGGTAGAAGTTGGAAAAAGGCTGTTTACTTCAACAGAGAGTGCATAAGGGTCCGGGGTCCCAGTGTTCCTTCTAGGGGATGCCCCTCCAATTGCAAGAACATCCTTCCACTAGGCTCTATATCCTAAAAGGTTCCCACTTCCAATAGCACCACAGGCTGGTAACTAAGCCTTTAGCATAGGGGCCAGTGAGGGATATTAAAGAGTCAAACCATAACATTCCAAATGTTTTCGAGAACTTTTACTGTCTGGTTTGTTTGGTGGTAGTTCACCTAACCTCCAGTTATTATGTTCTATGAGGCCCTGATCTTTCTGACCATTAGAGCCTTTCAGAAATTAAACTTCTGATTATTGAAGGCATTTTTGATGTTTACTCATTAATTCAGTCGTGATTGAAGCCTTGCTGTGCAGCCTACTGTAAGCTTGGTCCTTGTTCAGCTTGTAGTGTAATGGTGGGATGGAGCCTGACGAATAACAACTGCAGTCAGTTGGATCAGTGATGCTTAGATTAACTTGGAGCAGTTTTACTTCCTATTGCTGTGATGAACTACCATGGCCAAGGCAATTTAAAGGGGAAGGCGTTTATTGGGGGCTTATAGTTACAGAGGGAGAGCCCACAACCATCATGGTGGGGAGCACGGCAGCAGGCAGGCAGTCTGACAGGCATAGTGCTGGAATTGTAGCTGAGAGCTCACATCTTGAGACAACAACCATGAGGCAGATAGAAACTAACTGGGAATGTTGTGGGCTTTTGAAACCTCAATGCCAGCTCCCAGTGACATACGTTCTTCTCCAAGTCAAACCTCCTAGGCCTTCTCAAACAGTTCCACCATCCGTGGACCAAATATATGAACCTATAGGGCTATTGTTCAAACCATCTCAAGGACATAAGCAAATAATATTCAAATGTAAACCTACAATCACTGTAGAAGAGTGTGTAGCTTTCTCTTTAGATCATGTACTGTGAGCCTTTTGAGGTCTTACAGGAAGAGTATCAGATTCTAGTATGAGCTCAGTAAAATAGTACTCAGTGTAGGTATTTAGCTCGGCCTGGAAAAAGCCTTATAATTTAGATAGGAGGATATGAAGAGTACTAATGTATGGAAGAGAACCATATACACAAAGATGGGAATCCCCAGACTAGGGCAGAGAATTACTTTACTGTACTTGACAGCAACTAACTAGACCAGGGAAAGGAAATAAGGCAGGAAGCATAGGTAGGACTGATCAAAGACGAGTAAGTTGAGATCTTGTTTAGATGCAACTGATGCATCTGGTAGGACAAAGGGCTGTGAAGATTTATGCCTTCTTTTTGGGTTTTTATCTACAATCTACTGAGAGTATGCAAGATACATGAACTTATTTTAATATGCTTTCTTCTTACAGATGAGCTGAGAGAACATTTTGCTCAGTTTGGCCATATAAAAAAGTGTAATATACCTTTTGTGAGTATGAAAACAATAACAAAAAAACTATTGGAGATGGGACGGGGATATATCTCTATAGTAGAACACTTGCCTAATATGTATGAGGCTCTGCGTTTGATCCTTAGACTACTAGAAGGAAAAAAAAAGTTATCATTTAATTTTATATAAATACATTATACATTGTCTAACACACACGTAACTTGCTCAGTCTGTGTGTTACTTGTATGTCTGTTTTCAGGACTGACTATTCAGCACTGGATAACCAGTTGGTGTACTCTTCCCTGAGGGAGACTGTTCTGCACTTAGCATTCCTTAGTTGCCCAATGTTTATTTTTTGAGGGTTGGGGACTCTTGAGCCTTCCTCCTTTCAGGTTAGCATGTGTTCTGTGTATCATAGACATTTATGTTAATTCTTTTTTTTTTTTGGTTTTTCAAGACAGATTTTGTGTGTGTGTGTGTGTGTGTGTGTGTGTGTGTAACAGCCCTGGCTGTCCTGGAATTCACTCTGTAGACCAGGCTGACCTTGAACTCATTGAGATCCACCTGCCTCTGCCTCCCGAGGGCTAGGATCAAAGGCATGGGCCACCACTCGTCCAAGCTCCCAAGGTAGTTGGTAAAATTTTTTAAATTCTATTTTTTGTGTGTGGTTGTTTGGCCTGCATGTATACTTATGCCCCATGTGTATGCAGTGTTCCAGAAACCAGTATTGGATCTCCTGTAACTAGAGTTATAGTCAGTTGTGAGCCGCCATGTTAGTGCTGGGAATCGAACTCAGATCTACTGGAAGAGCAGCTGTGCCCCTAACAACTGAGCAATCTCTCTAGCTTCTGGAAAAATTCTTTTAAAATTTGTGTTTTTGAGATAAGACCTATGTAGCTCAAACTGCCCTCAAAATTACTATCCTTGAACTCACAACCCTTCTGTCTCAGTTGTGGCAGGCTTACAAGCATGTCCTACCATGTTCCAGTTTGGCAGCAAAGGTCTAAGTTAAGATGGTCACTTACAACATCACACCGATGATAGTCCATTTCCCTTTGCCATACTTTGTCTTAAAATAAGTTACATATTCTGGTTCCAGTTCTATGGTATCTAATGCTCTCTTCTATGGCCTGTATTTATACAGGCACATACATATAAACATCAAAACAAAGCTTGTGATGACAGAGGTCATGGTGATGAGGTTCATTGGTCTCAGAAATGACCAGATGGAACTAGGTTTGGGGGTTTTTCTAGCTCCTACTAAGTAGTTCATTAGAAACAAGAAGTCAGTTTCCTTTGAGTAAAACCCATTAGTGGTTTGCTTCTGGACCTTTTGACTGTATCCCATGCACTGTTATTGTGATCTGTCTGCATCTAGGGTACAGAAAGCTTTGTTCCTATTTCCTGTATTGCCAGTAGAAAAGCAGAGTAGTGCTAGGATTTAGCTTTGGGTAGCCAGGAGGGTATGTAGTAAGGGTTACTGATAAGTATTATCTGTGATCTGATTTTGCAAATTAAAAAGTTGATAGTTTTATCGATGGAGCTCTAGGAAACTTTATCAAGTTCATTGTTAACTTTTTTTTCTATTATATTTTCACTTTTAGGACAGAGAGACTGGCTTTCACAGAGGCGTGGGTTGGGTTCAGTTTTCCAAAGAGGAAGAACTTAAGAATGCACTACAACAAGAAAATCATATTATTGATGGAGTAAAGGTAAGTATTTCTGTTGATGTGTGTTCCATGCCGCTTTTTAAAAGAGTAGTTGGTGTCTTATAAGGTCAATAAGGAAATTCCATGAAGACCCTATTTTTTTCACATTAATTGTTTTTATATTAGATTAGCATTTAAAAATAGTAGCATGTAGTAGTAGGCTTCTCAAATTTGTGGGCAAAAGAAATAAACTTTAACTACGGAAGATACTGTTTGTGGAAGTCAGGCTGCTGTGCAGGATGATTAGGAATGGAGTCCCAAATGCTACTTGAGGTGTTCCAATCTGGAATATATTCGTCTAAAAGCTACTTCCCAGTGTATGTCGTCTTATGGGAAGACTACTAGGGATTGAACCCAGAATGCCACACATATGATAAGCACATGCTCCACTGAGCTTCCATTCCCAGGTAGAAGACTTTGATAGCTTGTCCAGGCATATGTAACATAGAATGGTGGGAACAGCAATGTAGGCAAGCAGGCTGAAATCTTGCCTTCTTCCCTCTGCTTACTAGAGGGAAGACACTAATCACCTGAGTCACTGGTATGAGTCTCTAATAAAGTGGTATTTGTGCAAACAGGGAAATTATGCTTTTAATGTTTCTAAAAAATATCACTTTTCCTTATAGTGCTTTTTCTCCCCACAGATCCATGTTCAAGCAAGGGGCTCAAACATCTGATGAAGAAAAAGACTTCTGAGATGATTATTGTATTATCTATTAAATAAATGTTACGAAGATTTTTTCTAAATTTTTTTATTTGAAACAGGAGCTGCACACTAAGTAGTTTCCCCACTGCAAGGTAAAACAGAACAACAGGACAAATGCATTTGGTAGCATAGTCAGTATGTGGACATTTTGGAGTAATTTTATTCATAAAGTTCTTACACAAAATATTACCCCTGGATTAGTAAGTGTCACATACGAGAAAGTGGTCTTAATTCTGTATGGGGCAGTATTTCCTATAAGTGCTGCATGATGGGAGAAGCACAAACATAACCCATTCTTTAAAAAAAAAAAAAAATGAATCCAAAGTAGAATATTCAACCCCCATTTCCTGGAATAAAAAGTAGTGCTGGGATCTATTGCCCAGATTTGGTTTTTGTCCTGATCATTTACAAAGGGTTTCCCAATGACTTGAATCATTAGGACTGTGAATAAGAGTCCTTTGTTTTGAAGAAAGGTCTATCTACTCCTTCCTCCGCTTCTTGCCTTCATGTTCATGTTCCTTAGGGCGACTGCTGTCAGAGGGTCTTTTAGAACCACCATGCTGTTTGGCTTCTTCCAAAAATTTGTCCAAACCAAAAGGATCTTCCTCAAACTGAACTGGTCCCTCTCGGCCTCTCTGTCTGCGGTCTGAACCAGAAAACTCCTTATCAGGGACAAACCTAGGGGAAAAAGAGAAGGGTTCATGAACTACTTTTGTTTTACTGGTGTAAACAGGATAATCAACTGTCTGTTTTGGTACCTGTTGGTCTTTATCCTGGTTTCTAGGTCATCACCATACATATCCTTGTCCAGATTTTTACTGGGCCTGTAGATACTTTGAGCCATATCTTTACCACCTCTCCAGGCCTGATCATAAACATTGTAAATTTCATCTTCTCCACCTGCAAATCCACTGTCCATACCCTGTGGAAAAATAAATGACACTAAATAAATAAAAATATACACTTATCCAAAGCTGAACCTGAATGCTTGTGAGTACTAAGATTAACTTTCATGTTTTCAGATAATTCTCAGAAAGTCCCAACTCCAACATTTAAAAGACACATGAACTTGTTCATACTCATGAGTTCTTACCTAGAGACTTAATATTAAATTAAGGTATTCATTAGTTTGATTAAGCTGGCTATGGTCTATATATAGTTATATAGGATAGTTCTAGGATAGTTCTAGGATAGTTAGAGCTATGTATAAGACCCTGTCTCAAACAACAAAAGCTTTGACTAGCCATAAGACAAAGGACACAAAGTTGAGTTGAGGTGGAGCTGTGAGGAGTTGGAGGGAGTGAATATAGTCAAAACTCAACTAATTGTATGCAATTCTCAAAAACTAATTTTTAAAAATTTGCAATGTCATTAAAGTTGAAGGCTTTTACTGTAGGCACTTGACAATGCTGAGAAATGTAACCTCAGCTGCCTAAGAACATCACTAGCAAAGCACAAGACAATTAAAGCATGGAGGTTAAGAGAAAAAGCTTTGGAATCAAGCATTCAAGGTTGAATCTCAGTTCCATCAATTACCTATGGAACGTAAGAGGCTAGGGAGACGGCTCAGTGTTAAAGCACTTTCTCCATATTCACGAGGATCCAAGTTTGGATCCCTAGGACCCGTGTAGGTGGGACTGGAAGCTTGCCTGTAACTCCACCCTCTGAAGATGCAGACAGGAGATCCCAGATCAAGCTGGCTAACAAGACTGACCTTGTCAGTGAGTTCTGGTATTGACTGAGAGACCAGCCTCAGAGAATAAGGTGGGAGGAAGAGTAACAAATGATGATTCCCAACATCAACCTCTGCCTTACATGCATGTACACGTATGCCTACAAATGACTTGGAAGAGCTTACTCAAATGCTATCTCCACATCTTCTAAAACCATGAAATCACAATTTTTATCCCTAGGAAGAGCTGTCATACACTCTGTATGTGTGCTCACTCAACATAAAGTTCTTTCTTTGAGGGCAGAGGCAAATTATCTTTGATTTCACTGACTTATGGGAAGTTACTAATTAACAATAGGTGATTAAATTGTTCTTGGCTGGTTAATTACACCCAATACTAGAAATGGGATTTCCTGACATCCTATTACTTTAATGATCCACTTCCGTAGTTTTTAAAATATATTTTAATATTTTTAATTTTTTGAAACAGGGTCCCATGCACCTCAGGCTGACCTTGAACTCTATCTTATCTTCCTATCTAGCCTCCCAAATGGAATAAAGACATGGGCCACCATGTCCAACTTTCATTTTTCCCTTTAAATAAAAACAATACAACTTCCAAAATTTTCCTGTCATCATTCCACCCTTGGCTAATCCAAATCCAAGTTGGGGTCTTTACCCCAAGGAAAGACATCTGACCAACGTATAAGATAAAGCTGCTTTCTAAGTTCCTCATACCTTGGTTTGGTTGAAGAGTCTTTGGTCATACTGAACTTCATTGGAAGTGCGAGGATTGGGCACACCAAGAGCAATGACTTCACTGATATCTCGATTTTCATTTCTCTGTAGTTTTGACCTGTTTCAAACACACAATCATTAACTGAACATATTTTACAGACAAGATGGATATATGCAATATATATACAACCACTCTCAGAAGCAAAGGAAACGAATGTGTTATGTTTCTGTCTCATGAACATACAATTTTCTGATAACACGCATCACAGCAGCAGCTCTTATAGCATTTCAGATGCAAGGCTAAGAAAGTAAGTGGGAGTCTACAATTAGGACTCATTAACTTAAAGGAACACAGAGGAGACTGGTTCTTGGGTGTCAATGGATGCATCACACACCCTCACTCCTTTTCAGCGGGCTACACTCAGCTATGACCTAACTATATGTAGCAATTTTTATCCTACTAGGAGCCTGAGGAAAACATGACAATGACTAGATTATTCTTTAGGGCTTCTGACATTACATTAATTTCTCTGCCGTTTTAGTATGAATGTAATTGGCATCTCAATGAAACCATGGTAACTGTCACCACTTTACAAGATGCTCATGTCTTAAAATATTTCTGTAGACAATTTTATTTTCATCCAATTACAAGTTCACAGCTTTTCTGTATCACCAATTCTCACAGCCACTTTACAGAGCCCCATTTCTCTACAGAGCCACCGTACTTTACAATGTAGCAAGTCCTCAAGTCACTGACCATGTTGATACTTCTCTCATTTCTCTCTTCAAACTCAGGTTCAATTTCTTGGCTAAACTTATCCAGATTAAACTCCTAGGATAACCAGAGCACGGGAAATTGCTCATACAGGAAGAATATGTTTCACATTTGCATTCAGCCTGAACCCCGAATTCTACCTTTGCAGCACAAGCACAGCATTTTCTAGACTCTGAAACAACAAAAGTCCTAGGGTATTGGTGAATTTCAAACTCCCTTCATTCCTACTTTATGTCCCCTATTCTTTTGTAAATTTTTCTCATTTGTAGAATGCTCTGTTCTGAATTTTAAAATAAAGTACTCATGGGAGTTCAGAATCTTTCAAAACTTGCTCTCCTTCCTACTGTACTAGGCACTATAAGGATGCCTCTAAGGCTATGTATGACAGCTGGCTTTCTGTCTACACACAGGCACACAACCAGCTTATCCCACCACTTGAATAGGAAAAGCACACACCCAAATTAATTCCATTCTCTCCTTTTGATCAAGATTTCCTTTTCCTATCCCCTCCATTCTCTATACTAAATACTAGGCCTACAAAGTGATGGAAGAGCGGGTTGCCTTCTAGGGAGAGTCAATTCTGTTAAGACAAAGTTAATCACCAATTTATTGTCAAGCTCAAGAACTCAGAGGCATAGAAATGCCCCTTTTCCTAATGTGGAATTATGCCAAGCAGTGACCTACCTCTTATCAGGGGCTGCCCTGGAAAGGTTCCGGTCGTGCTGTCTCTCTTTTCGCCTGTCATGACGGATTTCATCCCTTTCGCGTGCTTCTCCATCCTCTGTGGACACAGTTGAAAATTACATCGTCACTGCATTAGCTATTCCTATTTTGCAGAAGAGGCTCTTTAACCTTAGAAAATGCCATCCTTTTCTACTTTTGAGGCGGGGCATCACATGGCCAATGCTAGCCTCAAACTCTGGATCTTTCTGCTCCCACCTCCCTGCTGTTGGGATTATAGGTGTGCACAACCACCTCTCTGTGGTCACACTCAGCCTTTAAAGGATCATTTGCAACCAATTTAAATCCAATCAGTGTGTGGACGCCTATGACAGATACCTTCAACTTACTTGAAATGTAGCTAAGTAGAAGAGGTGGAGAGGTGAACATACAAGCAAAGAAGAAAATTCAGTAATGCTAATTGTTTTTTTTTTTTTTGAGACAGGGTTTCTCTGTATAATAGCCCTGGCTGTCCTGGAACTCAGAGATCCCACTGCCTCTGCCTCCCGAGTGCAGGGATTAAAGATGTGAGCCACTGCCACCTGACATGCAAATGGTTTTCAAAATTAAACACAGCATCTTGGTGAAATGAGGCAGGAGTTCACCATGCATTGTCTTCAGTTCTTCCTTATGTTTGAAAACTGTCAAGATAAAATGTAAAGGGCTGGGACAATGGCTCACTTGGTAAAGTGCTTGCTATTCAAGCAGCAGGAATTGAGTTTGGATCTCTAGCAGCCAGATAAAGGGCTGGATATGGTGTTTGTATATGTTTCTAAAACAAACTTAGTCAGCCAACTGGTGAGATTTTGGCTCAAAAATAAAAGTAGAGAGTGATTGAGCAATGACAATGTCAACCTCTTGCCTCCACATGAACATATAATGTGCATATGCCTCCTCATACAGCCTCCTCAGAGCTGGGAACAGAGGTGTATTGCACATATATACCACATCAACTAATACACATGCACATCTCACCAAGCCTTTTAACAAAATGGAAGGAAAAAAGAACCATGTATAGGTTCTTGTTGAAGCTGCCAGGCAACCTAGCCAAATGCATGAGCTCTAAGCAAAGACTGTTTTAAAAAAAAAAAAAAAAAAAAAAAAAAATTAACGTGATGTGAATGTGCCTCCTTTGGGTATATGCCCAAAAGTGTTATTGCAGGGTCTTGACCTAGGTTGATCCCTAATATTCTGAGAAATCACCATACTGATTTCCATAGCGGCTGTACAAGTCTGCACTCCCATCAGCAATGGAGGAGTGTTCCCCTTTCTCCACATCCTCTCCAGCATAAGTTGTCATTAGTGTTTTTGGTCTTAGCCATTCTGATTGGTTTAAGATGGAATCTCAGAGTTGTTTTCGTTTGCATTTCCCTGCTGACTAAGGATGTTGAATATTTGCTCAGCTATGTTCATAGCAACATGACTAATAATAGACAGATGTTGGAACCAACTTAGATGACCCTCAGCTGAAGAATGAATAAAGAAAATGTGGTACATTTACACAATGGAGTACTACTTAGCAGTAAGAAACAATGACATCCTTCTCCAAGTGCTGGGCCCCGCACACTACAATACCAACCTGTTTGGCAAGATGAGCCAGCAACAGGACTGTTTTGGGGCTGATCTGCTGCTTTTGGATGGCATCCCCTACTAGTCTCATCTATACTGGGCTAAACTCAGGGCCTTTGTAGTCATTTATCTTTCTGTCTAGGATGTTCTTCTCCCAGGACAGCCACAGGCTCACTTAGAAGTTTTTGTATACATGATAGCATTTTTGAAGTAAGACTTAGTCTGATAACCCTTTCCTTCTGGTACTTTTATAACCATTATGTTCTATTTTTCTTCACTCACTATATTATACTAAATGACTAACTTCATTTGCTGGTTTTGTCTGTCTGACACGGTTTCTCTGCTTAGCTCTGGCTGTCCTTCAAACCACTCTGTAGACCAGGTTGGCCTCGACTAAGACATCTGCCTGCCTCTGCCTCCCGAGTGCTGAGATTGGCTTCTTTTTTTGGACAGAGGCTCTTACTATGTAGCTCTGGCTGTCTTCAAACTTTCCATCCTCCTGTTCAGCCTCCTCAGTGCTGGGAGCAGAGGTATATTACCATGTGATTAGAAAAAAAACACCCCCCTTTCTTTCTTTCTTCCTTCCTTCCTTCCTTCGTTTCTTTCAGATAAAACAACCCCAAAATACCCCTGCCCCCTTTCTCTCCTTACTTCCTGAGGCAATCTATGTAGTTCAGGCTGGTCTGGAACACCACGAAGACCAATCTTGTCAGGAACGTGTAATGCTCCCATTTCAAACTTCCGTGGGCAGGATTATAGGCACACTCCACCACACACAAGATGACCTGTCCTTGTCTTTCTGTAGTCACTGGATATTGATTGGTTTTATCTTGCCCTGTCCTACCATCTAGCCAAACATCTGTGTCTAAAAGATTGTCACACACTGGGTACTTGGAATAAATGAAGTCTTATAGGCCTGCCTTTAAAAACCAACCAAACAAACAAACAAAACAAAACCCTCACAGCTGCCTGATTAGAATTATAAATTCACTGTACTTCTGTAAGGGCTAGAGTGGCACATGTCTTTAATTTCAGCATTTGGGAGGCAGAGGCAGGCAGATCTGAGTTCAAGGCCAGCCTGGTCTACAGAGCTAATTAGTTCCAGGACAACCAGGGCTATACAGAGAAACCCTGTCTCAGGGAAAAATAAAAAAGGATTACAAATTCATCTTTCCCCTCATAATACACTTGACACACTAATGTCAATTACTAAATAAAGCCAGGCAGAAAACACTGGCAATTTTAATGACTGCAAAATACATTCCTCTACAAATTAGCACAACTCCAGATTATTTTACCACATTGGCAGATTGACTTAGTTTGGGAATTTATTTTTCTTTCTAAATTTTAAGAAAACTACAATCGGATTAAAATTAGATAAAGCCTATCAATAGCATTAACGTAAATTAAAAGGTGTAATTGTCTGGCTGGGTGTGGTGGCACATGACTTTAATTCCAGCACTCAGTGGACAGAGGTAGGCAGATCTCTTGGAGCTCAGCCTGTCTGGTCTATATAAAGTTCCAGAACAGCCAGTCTATGACAAAAACATTTTTGTTTGTTTTTATTTTTTGAGACAGGGTTTCTCTGTGCAACAGCCCTAGCCATCCTGGAACTAGGTCTACAGACCAGGCTGGCCTCAAACTCACAGAGATCTGCTTGTTTCTGCCTCCCAAGTATTAGGATTAAAGGCATGTGCCACCACCACCTGACCAAAAAAAAAAAAAAAAAAATTTTTTTTTTAAAAATGTAATTGTCCCACAATATCCTGTAGAAACTGGTTCCTGGACCCATACATACCCCATATGTACTCAAGCCCCTTACATAAAAATGTTACACAGCTGACAGGCCATATTTTCTAGGGAATAATGGCATAATTTAGGTGCAGATGTCAACTGCCCAGCCTAAATGCTGTCAATCCATAACCAGGTCAGTCTGTGGCTGAGGACCCTAGATACAAAGGACCAACTGTAGATTGATCAAAACTAAGAATTTCTAGTATACTTCCATATGGAAGACCCATTTCAAATTTGTATGTCTTCATTTTTTTCTAGTTCAGCTTAATAAGGAAGAAGTCACACCCATTTCTACAATTTTCTGAAATATCTAAAATTTTCTTATATACACACTCTACTTTTGTATACTGTAAAACATGTCCTCCCCCCACCCTGCATGGAGACATTCTAAAATGAGATCTACACATTGTTCATCAAGTAAATTTAAAAATGGGACTGTCATACCTTTTTCCACATGGGTTTTGATCCCAGCTCTCCTCTCTCTGGCTTTCTGGGCCATTTCTCTAAGTTTCTCTTCATGTTTCTCCTTTTCTTTTTGAGCCATCTTTCTCTCCACTTGGGCTCGCATTTCCACAGCTTCACGAGCCTGTTTAATTAAGTGAGATGTTATGTGAACTCATCACAGTATAAATATTTACTGCTACATTCAACCTGACTTCCTGAATTCTGTGGCTGCTGAAAAGACTAAGACTGTGGAAGGCTGGCCTATTGTCTCTGGGGAATGTTTTGATGGTTGCAGCTACAGTAACCCCAGATGATTTTTATAAGTCAAGCACATTACCAATGCTGTCTCAGAAACAATCTAAAAATGAAACACTGGCTGAGCATAATATCGAGCACCAGTAATGCCAGCAGAGAAGATCATCCGAGTTCACAGCTGTGAGGGAGCAGGGATCACCACTGCTGGGTGCAGCTCTCTACAGAGCTGTAGCTAGCTCTTGCTGTCATCAGCACACACACAAGTTAGTGTCTCTCTATACCTGAGGGAAACAGATATGGACTCAACAGATACAAGAACATTTGGCAAACTCTAAACGACCAACCTTCCGATCAGCAATGTATAGAGCTTCAGCTAGTTTGGCAAAATTTTCGTTTATGTGTACGGTCTGAAGTCCTCTTCCATCAGCAGCCAGCCGTTTATCCAGAGGAATTGTGTAACCCTGAAGTGAAAACAGAAAACGAGTCAGCTCAGCAGAGCTACAGTCATCACCTAACATTAGCCTAGTGCATGCCCAATTCAAGAACCACTCAAATAAATTTCCATTTCTCACACACTCGTGGAAAACTAACAATAGGTGCTTGGATAGAAGGCCCACTGTCTAATAATCCTTGTAACTGCACAAGGCTGGTAACACAGCATACTCCACCTCACAGAGGAAGATGGGCTAGAGTGCTGTGATGATGGGGACAAGTTCAGAGTCTGTAAGTGGGAGATCTAAGACTGGAACACCAACAGTATGATGCAAGAGCCCAAGCTTTAAAAAAAAAAAAAAAAAAAAGTGATCATGTTAATAACTGTGGATCACAGTGAAAGGAAGTCACTGTCCAATAGTCAAACAGCTGCTCCAGGAAGAAAAGCAACAGTCGTAAGAACTCAGACACACTGCTACAGGGAATATGCTGAACATGTATGAGACTTTCAGGCCTGGTTTTGTTTTTCCAGATTCTTAGACTCTTCTCCCAAACACTAATCTTATGTCCATTGTCTCCTAACATAAAACAGTGCTGGCTATGTGTGGGGTACATGTTTGCAACCACACTTGAGAGGCTGAAGCAGGTGGATTACAAGGATCAGCCTGCCCACATAGCAAGTTCTAGGCTACAGAGTGAGACCATGGCCCCTAAAACAAAAATACAAATGAAGTTCCCACCTAGAAACAATTCACACGCTTAAACAAAGTCCCACAGTGTTTCTGAATCATCAATACATCACAGGATTACACCGACATGAATAAACTCAAGTAAGACAGTTCGACCGCCATTCCAGTGGAGGATAAATATGTAACTTTATATTTAACTCATGGCTTAAAGTTGCTGTCTTCACCCATCAAAGTGAATCATGAGCTGGATGCCAAGCCGGTAAGGAATAGGAATTAAGATATGCATCCCATATTTTTACTAACTTCTGGGAGCTCTGGCAGTTATCTGAGTTACATAGAATTTTTGTTTATGTTTGTTTTTGAGAGAAGGTTTTCTCTGTGTAGCCCTGGCTGTCCTGGAACTCACTTTTAGATCAGGCAGGCCCTCAAACCTACAGAGACTTGCCTGCCTCTGCCTCAAGAGTGTCATCATGCCCTGTTACATATAGGTTTGACTGTCAGGGCTTTTTAAGACAGGAAGGATCTTGTGATGTAGGCCAAAGTAGCCTTCAATTTGTTATCCTCCTACTTCAGTTTCCTGTGTGCAGGGATCACAAGAACACAACACCACACACACCTGGCAACGCAATGAACAATAATGCTTCACAGCGGAAAAACAGGAATTAAAGTAGGAAAACCCAACATTCACTCTTCTCCTTTCTCATGTGATTGCTGGACTGCTTTAATTTCTTTTTTGTTGTTGTTGTTTTGGTTTGTTTTTTGAGACAAGGTTTCTTTGTGGGGACGGTCCTGGCTGTCCTGGAACTTACTCTGTAGACCAGGATGGCCTCGAACTCACTGAGATGTGCTTGTCTCTGCCTCCTTCCAAGTGCTGGGATTGAAGGCGTGTGTGCGCCACCCCCTCCCAGCCCAGGGTGATTTAATTATTTCTGGAAATAATCTAACCTAGAAATTTGACCTTCATGAAGAGTTATATCTTCAATCAACAGGGTATCTTAGCTCTTATTTTTCCTTTTTTTCTATGACCTTCTGATAGCTAGAATATGCCAGAGAAATGTGGCATTCAAGCACCTAGTCCAGCAACATGTCTAGTGAGATTGGAAGCATCCCATAAAGCATCCCTACTGTTTGGGTGGTGTACCCAGGTCTCACTGTTGAAGGTGTGCTCTCTTCCACTGAGCTATGCTCTCAGCGGCTGTAACTTCTTATTGTGAATGTTTAGCTAAGTGAGGCAGTAAGACTTCAGGTAACATCCCAGGCTTTACTTGTGCTGTGGCTCCTCCGTCCTGAGCAACCCACCCCCAGGAGATGGTACTAACAGACCTTGTGACAAGACACTCACCTTTGCGTTCTTCCAGTTGGAGATACAAGGGGGGATCTTCCACTCTTGCTGTTCCTTCACGGTCATCTGGAAAACACGTCAGGGAGAGACGCTGTTATTACAGTCTGACTCAAAACCCAAACGCACCAACAATGGACTGACAATGCCCCTCCACACACTGACAACGACCGGATGATTGCAGCGACATCTCTGGCAGCAGTGCACGCTGTCCCGTGCAGTGGACTCTAGCCACAGGGAAGCTAACGTGAAAGATGGAGATGTCAGTATCTCCCCACCGTGAAAAATGCCTGACTTGGAGAAGTGGGGCAAGCGGCTGCGCTCAGACGAAAACCCACACTTGTGCCTGTCAAACAGACCCTGTCCGACCCACTGAAAGCAGAGGTCAAGTTACAGTGGTGGGACAGCTAACATTCACATTCTCATAAGCTCACTGTGCTCTGAAGTCTTAACTGACTCCGAATTTGATCTTGGAACACAAAAGTTTAACCATCATGGTGGCATACAGGCAGAGGGTATCTTTATAAAAGTAAAAATGGCGAATGAAAAGAGATTTGACTATAGCAAGGAGTACCTTCCGACTAGGAGAGTGCATTACAGGTGCAGGAGGAGATGGTGGTCCCCGGGGAATTTTCTTATTAATCCTGAAGGATAAACCGAAAGTAAAACAAATAATCAGAGCAGGAAGTCCTCAGTCACTTTTCAGATATCAGGTCCCAATCTTCCCTTCTTTAGTTTTTTGTTGCGATGAGCACTCACGGGGCACCTCATGTTTGGGTCTGTTAGCTAATAAAGTGTGGTCACTGTCACCACTCACCTCACTGCTACCACTGCACAGAGCAACACACTCACAGCTCGATGCAACTGGCACACAATTAATTAGACACAAAGTGTACAATCCACCAGCTGGATAACACCATCCAGGCAGTGAGCATCCTCATCATCTCAATTTGTGCATGTGTTGTACCTACCCTTTTTCTTCTCTATTCACATCCTCTTCTCCATGGGTACCCACTCATTGACTGTCTATAACTAAAGATAAAACTGCATTTTCAAGAATTTTTAAAATTAATTTATTGCTTGTGTGTGTGTGTGGGGGGGGGGGCTGTAGTCTGTATCATGGGAAGTATGGAGGTCAGAGAACAACTTCACAGGAGTGGGTTCTCTCCTGATACCATGTGAATTCCAGGAACTGAACTCTGATGACTGGACTGGGCAGTAAGATATCTTTAACCTCTGAGCCTTCCTGCTGACCCCATTTTCTAGAGGTATACACAGAACCGTAACATTGCATTACTTGTTTTGTCTGGCTTCTTTCATGTAGCACAATTAATTTCGGACTCATCTATGTTATTGTAGTAGTTTATTTCTTTTCTTGGTCCAGAAATATTGCAGGTATTAATGTACTAATGTTTGCTTATCTATTAGTCTATTGATAAACATGTGGGACTCTTTTCTTGATCCTCATTGTATAGGGTGGTTTTGAGTGTCAACTTGACATAAGCTAGAATCATCAGAGAGGAAGGAGCCTTAGTTGAGGAAATGCCTCCTTGGAATCCAGCTGTAAGGCATTTTCTCACTTAGTGGTCAATGGGGGAGGGACCAGCCTATGGTGAGTGGTGTCATCCCTGGGCTGTTGGTCCTGGGTTCTATAATAGATAGGCTGACAAGCCACCAGAAGCAAGCCAGTAAGCAGCACCCCTCCAAAGCCTCTGTATCAGGCCCTGCTTCGGGGATCCTGGCCTGTTTGAGTTCCTGTCCTGACTACTTTCAGGGATGAACAGCAATGCTGAAGTATAAGCCAAATAAACCTTGCCCTCCCCAACCTGCTTTTGGTCATGGTGCTTCATCACAGCAATAGAAACCTCAATTAAGCTGGGCAGTGGTGGCACACGCCTAAATCCCAGCACTCCAGAGGGAGAGGCAGGCAGATCTCTGTGAGTTCCAGGCCTGCCTGGTCTACAGAGAAACCCTGTCTTGAAAAACAAAAACAAAAACAACAACAACAACAACAAAAAAACCAAAAAACAAAACAAAACAAAACAAAAAAAAAAAAAACAAAAAACAAAAAACAAACCCAAAATACAAAAAACCCTCAAGACAATCATGACTGCATGACTGGACGCTTACTTGAATCTTGGTGGCTCCATTGGGTCTTTCTGCATTTCTACCATCCGAATAACCCTCTGTTTAGCTCCAGAGTTGAAGGCTACTCCTTGCTGAGATGGTGTGTAGCTAAATAGAGTAGATGAAAATTAAAGTGTCATTAGTTCAAGCTTTTGGTAGACATTTCTCTTCTATTACAGCCCCATGTGATTATACTTTCAATTCTTTTCAGGAAGTACTGACATAAAATCACCATACATTTAGGCAGGGAAGCCAGAAGCAGACCAGAAAAGGAACAGAAGTGAAATCAAACAAAATATATGCTCAAGTGGTTAGTGACTACCCTCTTCATCCTTTCTACATCCCACCTGGGAAATACACCTGCCCAGCTTTGCAGGTCTAAAACTAGCACCTGCTTTTAAGTCTACATTATGGAACAAAATTGCCAGGGCTAGAGAGATGGCTCAGCAGTTAAGAGCACTGGCTGCTCTTTCAGAGTGCAATTCCCAGCACCCACACGGCAACTTCTTACCACTGCAGTTCCTGCAACTCTTTCTCTGGCTTTGTTGGGCACTAGGCAGGCAGGCAAAACACACATACATATAAAATAACAATACATAAATGAGTAATACTTTTTTTAAAAAAGGAAAATAGTTACAATAGTGTGCCCACTGCCAACATGCAATGTATATTGTAAAAACTGCAGCAGAAGCCCTAAATTTTCCCTTTACCTCTAGTTCCAATCATTCCTCACATGGACAGGCCAGTGAAGGCTCTCAACATTTAGCAGCATTATAAAAATTTATTAAATATAACCAAAAACTATAAACAATTGTCGTTTAGGTCACATACCATAGCTAACAGTTATTTTCTAAAAAACCGAAAACCAAGTCCAGTGGTGGTGGTCCACACATTTACTTCCAGCACTTGGGAGGCAGAGGCAGGTGGATCTCTGAGTTCGAGGCGAGCCTGGTCTACAAAGTGAGTTCCAGGACAGGCTCCAAAGCAATATAGAGAAACTTTGCCTTGAAAAACCAAACCAAACAAACAAACAAAAATCCCTGAAAAATCAACCCAAACCCCCAAAACTTGAGATCACAACAGCTAAGACCTTGTTTTGAGGCAGGGTCTTACTATGTAGCCCTTTCTGGCCTAGAACTCAGAGATCCACATGACTTTGCCTATGCATATGCCAGCTTACAACATTTAACATCTTAATGTAGATATTTAAAAACAAACAAACAAAAAACTTCTGGGGCTTGAGAGATGGCACAGTGGTTTAGAAGGTCCTGAGTTCAATTCCCAGCACCCACATGGTGGCTCAGGACCATCTACAATGGGATTCAATGTTATCTTGTGTTTGATTCCTTCTGTCCTTCAAGCATACATGCAAACAGAACACTCTATACTAAATAAACCTGAAAATTAAAAACAAAAAACCCCTTTTGCAAACTAGATTTAACAGGCAAAAGTCATTAAGACAATGCATTTGAACTGGCTGTAAGCTGGTGAAGAGTCTTCAGAATCCCACCTATGGAGTCTGACATGAAACTAACACTTCCAGCAGGGTGCATACCGGATATACTGAGCAGGGGCCAGCTTGTCAGCTGCACGAACTGGCATGGCTGCAGCAACCTTCTGCGATACGGACTTCTCCAAGGCTACTCTTGTCTTCTCTGTTATCTGAGATGAGAAGCATCATGTTGAGCAGTTGGAAATTAATAAGGACACAAAGCCATCTAAAATAACCACATATATCAACTCCTAGTTACCTCTTTAATAGCCTCTTCATCAGGCCTTTGCAGGTCTGGGTCATCTGCATTCATAACCTCCTTTGGAACCAGGTCAGTGTACTTGCTGTAAATGACCTAAAGTGTTCAAACACAAGCAGGCTTAGGAACACACAGAATGGAGAGACGCAATCTCATTAAGTCAGTGTAGATGTCAACATGTCCTTTCAGTATATTTACACATTTAGGATACTCAGTTTTGGCTTTCAGATTTTAAAGCTAAAGGAGCTTAAAATATGTACACAAATTGCTGCCCTGGCTCCAAGCTGATCACTTTCCCTTGACCCCATGCATTTAAATTATTTGAGATCTTCTAATCAAGTCAGTATCCAAATACATTCTGCCAACAAAATCTTATGCATCAGTGATCTCTATTTTTGAGGCTCACTAGGACTTGAAATTAATGATGATATAAATTGCCTATAGCACCATTATCTTGGATTAAAAACTCATCAGAATTTAAGTCGGGTTACTAAATAATTTGCAAATTCACTGGGCCTAGAAAATTTCATTGACCTCATCCTATTTATAATGTGTCTGTTTTCTGGAATCAATTCTATTCACAAACTAGGAAAGTGAACATGAAAAAACAAAACAAAACAAACAAAACAACAACAACAACAACAAAAAACACCCCAGAATATTTTCTTCTACAAGAGAAAGAGAAAAACAAGAATATATTTATGTGTTCTAGTTCCATTTCTGTCTGTTAAAGCCTTACAAAAGAAACTCAGGGAGGAAAGGGTTTATTTGGCTTATAATTCCAAGTTAGTCTATTACTGACAGAAGTTAAGGCAAGAACTCAAGCAGCTAGTCACATTATATCCAGTAAAGAGCAGGGAGAAATCAATGACTCCGACACTTGCTCCCATTTAGTTTTCTCCTGACTCACATAGTGGGGAGCTCCTCTGCATATGGGATAGCAGTGCATCAATTATCAAGACAATCCCTTACAGACATGCCAACCTAATTTAGACAAGCACTCAACTGAAGTTCCCTTCCCAGTGATTCCAGGTTGTAGTAAATTGACAGTAGAAATAAATCATCCCAATAGGTAAATTGCATCAGGACCAACACCTTCCTTTTAGGCTGGTACCGATGTAATGGGCTCTTGAAACAGATTGCTTACTTGCCTGTTATCTACACTTCCCAAGTACTTCCATTAAAATGTACATGGAAGATTTTAAAGAAAAAAAATACTAGAAATTTAACCAATATTCTAGATTTTAATACTTTTGTTAGAAATTCTTTGACACACATACATAAAAAGAACAACTTATGGGGCAGGAGAGATGGCTCAGCAGGTTAAGAACATTTTCTGCTCTTACAAAGGACCAAGGTTCAGTTCCCACCACCCACGAGATAGCTCACAACTGTCTGTAACTTTGGTTCCAGAGGATCTAACGCTCTTCTGGCCTTCAAGGGCACCAGGCACATGTGTCCCTCATACACACATACAGGCAAACACACTTTACATTCATAAAATGAAAACGAAGTTGGGAGTGGTGGCACATGCCTTTAACCCCAGCACTTGGGAGGCACAAACAGTGCATCTCTGTGAGTCTGAAGCCAGCTTGGTCTACACTGCTGAGTTCAGGCCTAGCAGGGCTACCCTAAGAAGAGATCCTGTCTCAAAAAATAACAAACAAAACAAACAACAACAAAAAACCCATAACAATACCCAAACAACAAAAACAAATCTTAAAGGGCAATTTATGCAACTTATGAATAGGAAACAAAACTCCTGATGTCTATAATCTTCCATTTTTTTCTTCAGAAGACAACTAAACTACTAAAGCTAAACTCATAAAAGAGGTGAAGAGGATGGAAACTGCTCTGGATTTTCTACTGAAGGAACAGTGCGAGGAACTCTGGCTACTTCTACCCCACCTGCCTGTGCCTACAGCCTCGTCTCTCCGGCTTACTCTCTCTCACTCCTCCATCCACGCTGTAGGCACAACTCTTCTGTTCTTTGAACATCTTGTATTTTTCCCAATTCCAAGGGTATGTGAAGTGCTACCCGGAGTCCTGCAAAAATTCTAAATCTGTGTTCTAGATTGGTTGGGGTCTGCCTGCCCCTCCAGCCCCAATCCTTCTGCACCTCAGCACTTTGTCTCCTCTCTTCAAAGCATTCATCACACTATGCCTTTTTCCTGTCACCCTGATAGAACAATGAAAACAATGACCACAGCTTGTATTTACTGAGCTTTGATTATTTGGTGTGGTTCTTCCTGCATGTGAGATTCAGATATTTAACTTTCATATCCACCCACAAGGCTTGCCAAATCATACCTAGTTACCAATGAGAATACTCACTAATGAATTTCTGGTGCCTGCAACAGCACCTGTCTACAGAAGGCCTTCAGTCAATACTTTTTATATAAATGAAGGAATAAATGTACTTCTTTGTACATAGGATAGGGGGAGGAGGAGAGACAGAAAACAGGGCATGTTGTACATGCTGATCCCAAATTACCATGCTCAAAGGGTCCTCCTGACTCACCCTCCAATAAGCAGGGACCACAAGCGTGCCACCAGTGCCTGGCTCAGAACTTCCTATACAAAGTATTTATTTCCCAGAGTTACAGAGGGAAATGTCTAGCTTACATTTAAAGAAGGGCTGTGAATTTTTTTGTTTCCCAGAGTTACAGAGGGAAATGTCTAGCTTACATTTAAAGAAGGGTTGTGAATTTAGCACAGGTGTAACTACTGACACATGAGTTATCAGCGACACTCTTCTACTAGTGTTCATTTTATAAGCACTCAACAATTGGAAGGGTACAGGAGGACCACATAGGCTAGGAAACAACCTCAAGTCTTATTTCTTTTCAGGGTGGGAAATCTGCACCACCACAAACTGAAAACTCTCCAACACTGAGACTACAATGACTTAACCGGTTTTCCACAGTAAACATTACAGGAAGAGTCTAAGTAAATGGCTCCCTGGTAGTCATGTATGTTCAATATAGTCTCAATACTAAGTTAGCACACAAGAGCCATTTGCTGCTTCTTATTTGGGTGTTCCAAAGTTAATAACCCTTTAAATGAGCATCAGTAAGATTCTAGCATCTTACCAGACAGAATGAAGGACATCTCAAGAGCAAGATTCCTTTGTGGTAATTAACTATAAACTCCCACAGTTTACAGCCTGAAAAACAAATGTCCTGAAGAAACTTGGCAAATCAGTAGGTAACACAGCTGGGACGAGTCATCTGAAAACTACAGTCTACCCTTGAAGGTAGGAACATAAACAGCTTTACTCATCAAGAGAAAAGCAGAGCCAGGCAAGGTAAGCACCCTCTTCCGGCCTCTACAGACACCAGGCACACATGTGGTACACATACATATAAACAGGCAAGATATTCACACATAAAAAAATAAAAACATCTGACTACTGGAGTGATAAAAACAGGACTGACTGAAAGGTGAGCTGCTCAACATATCCACCATGTCATCTGCAAGCATAAACAAGTTAATAACATGGGATTTATCACAGGGTCATTTGAAGCTGTTGCAGTTTGGGAGGAGAGATTAACAGCATCCCTTTAGGTGATCATGCATGGCACATTTTCTACAAAACAGTTGCAGAAGGAAAACTGCACACACCATGGCTTAAGACATCACCAAAGTCTATAAAGTCCTATCAAAATGTATCACAAGAAACGTTTCCTCCTGGCTTTCGCTTATATCTTATATATGCACTGAACTTTTACATGAAGAGATCAATGGCCTCAGACTTTTCTCAAATACGAAGTCTTTTTCTTCTCTTACATCTACCACTAACATTTATGGCCTTGCTCTTTCACTATTAATATTTTTAGTGAGAACTCCCTCATTCCTAAAGAATACCAGTTTCCTCTGGAATAAACCGAAACCTTTGTATACTACAGTACAAACTCAAAAATCAAACACTCTGTTTTCATCTTTGGTCTCTGCATACCAGTCTCCTGAATGATGATCAATTTCAAAAGTCCATTTTCCAAGGGGTAACTTTGCTCCTTCAGGCTTCCCTCTAAAGGCTCTGTACATGAACAGGACCACAGTGGTGGTCAGGGGAGCCGCTGGTGCTTAACAGGCAGCACTAGCCATACCACACACAGTATAATTCTCAAGACAGCTCAAAACTATCAAGAAGCACTTTCTTAGGAGGCCAGTGCATGTGACAGCTACTCAACCAAAGCTAAGTGAGACAATGTATTCCAAAATAATCCATCCACTTTTAGCAAAAACAAGACAAAACAAAAACCCAAAAGTGTTTTATTTTATGGGCCGAAGAGTGATCTCTCTAAATGACCAGAGCTATGGATTCAGTTTTAGTGGCCAAATTTTATAAAACAAAGGCCTTTACTAGGCAAAGGACAATTTTTGGGGGAACTTTCTTTGGCCACATACTGAAACCCCAAGTCCTACAATTCACCTTTAATAATCTAATCTGGAAAGATTATACATCACTGCAGTTACAGCTGCTACCCTGGCAAGTAAAATAGCAGGCAATCAAGGAAGACCATGTATAAATAGGTATCTTCCTGTTCTTCTGTTGTTTGAGACAGGGTCTCTCTATGTTGCCCCAGTTGGCCTGGAACGGAGATCTGCCTGCTTCTGCTGGGATTGAAGGTATACATCACCACATTTGGTTCCCCACAGGTTTCTTTTACCATCAGAATATACTACTTACAAATATAATTTTTTAAAAATTCTATTTGCTTTATGTGCATAATTGTGGAATTACTGACTTTTGTAACTTTGGTAGCAATTTTGGGACACAAAAGTTTTTGAAATATAAAACAAACGAAATCTAAGTTGGACAGCTATTGTGCTGGATGCAGCCTGCAGTACTAGGTAGGAAGAACTGAGTTCAAGGCCAGCCTGGGGAGAGCAGATATTACCAACTTGTGTAGAATTTCAAGGCACAACGTTATTGTTGGTCACAAAGTTAATCAAGAATGCTTTACAGCTATATATTTTATGGCAACTCTTTTAATTTTGCTGCTGGACTTAAACCCAGGGCCTTGTGCATACCAAGCTGGTGATCTACTATTGGTTAACTTCACAGAAGCCCTAACTTCACTGCTATTTTTTAAGAGATTTATATATGTGTATAAATGTTTTGCTTGCATATATGTATGTGCATCAGGAGTGCTTGGTGCCCTTGGAGGTCAGAAAAGGGCATCTGAGCCCCTGGAACTCGAGTGACATGTGGATGCTGGGAACTGAACTCAGGTCCTCTACAAGAACAAGTGCTCTTAACCACTGAGTCATCTCTCCAGCCCCAACCCCACTCACTGCTGATTTTACACAATCCAAAACGACAAGTGATTTATTATTTCCACAAAATGTAGTAAAACTTCACAAAATATTTACCAATGAGGAAAAACAAACAAACAAACAAACAATGAGATTACCTTGTCTTTGGACTGCCCCTGTCGAGCAATTGCATCATATTTAATTTTCCCTTCAGGATCCACCTGAATGGCCAGTGCATTTGACATTTTCTTCTTTCGCCCCATATCCAGTGGATACTGGGCCACGTGGATTTCTGGGAAAGCACCTCCATCTCCAAAATCCTGTATATTACAAGAAAAGAAGAATATTTAGTAGCAATTCTTTCAAGTTATGGAACCTAGGTGTGAGTAACAGCAGTAAGCAAAGGCAAGGTTTTCATCTTGGGAATTTACATTTAGTGGGCAAAGGTATAAAACACACTCTTTGGGTGTAGGAAGCACCCAAACATTCAAAGAGGTACTTTCATTCTTACATGCTCCCTTCCTGGAACCCATACTGAGGACACGACTAGAGTGGAAGTCAGACTGGCCAGCTCACACCTCCATCCAGTAAAGCTTTATTAGCTACATGACCCCTTCTGCTCAGGAGCTAGCTCTGCCTTCTCTATGATAAAAACACTTCTAAAACTCATCTTCTATGGTCTGTGAATTTCATCTTGAGTCTATGAGACATGGACCCAAAAGCCACTGGCTTGGGACAGCTTTAAAGGCCACTGATTTTACAAAACCCTAGCCCACCCGAACCAGTTGCTGTGGGGCTCCTGTCTTACAAATTTAAACAATGAATTTTGTGGAGTTCCTGTCTTACAGATCTGAAGAATGAAATTTGTGGACCACAGAGGGTGGATTTTAGAAAGGCAATTAATTCTGCTATGCTGGCCAGGGTCACTGAGCACAAGTGACCCTATTTCAGTTGGGGTGACACATATTCTACCACCCAGGCTCACATCTCTAATGGTGATTATAAATCATCACAAGAATGAGAGCTACAGTTTGTAAAGCACAACAGCGATCTGTCAATAATTTGTTGGTATTTATTCTCGGGCTAGCCTGGCTGGAACTCACCTGCCTCTGTCCCACAAATGCTGGGATTACAGCTCTTTATGTGAGTGCTGGGGGATTCAAATTCATCTCATGCTTACAGAGCAAGTGCTGTTACTCACTGAGTCAATCTCCCAGTTACATCCAAGCTTTGTTTGTTTTATTTTTACATACACTGAAATAACCTTTCTTTTAGTTAAAAAGAAAGCAAAATAAAAGCCAGTATCCCCCTGCTCCATATTTTTTTTTAACTCACTACGTAGACCTGGCTGGCTTCCAACTCAAGAGCTTTCTGGCCTCCCAAATGCTGGGATTAAAGGCACAGACCACCAAGCCTGGCTGCCCTAATAATAAAAGTCTATACAAATCCTCCAAAATCCAAAACGACAAACAAGAGAAACAACAACCCCCCCACCATGATGAAATCTGAACTACTTTTGGTCCTAAGTATATTATGTAAGGCACGCTCAACCCATATTACCAAGAATGTTAGAGAAAACATTGAAATTCACCAATAAGAGGGTATTTATTGAAAATAAATTCATTTTTATAAGACTCCTCCCCCCTACATTATTTCATTAGATTTTGGCACAATATGCTTATTTATCGGAGAGGGTTGAATTTTTTGAAAACCAACAGAATGAAGTGATAAGAGATATTTTCTTGTAAATTAGGCAGAAATAAAATCTTCCTAAGAATAGTGCTTCCTGTACCCAGACCATCAGTTTGACATATGCTCAGATTTGCTGGAGTTCTTCAACTATAATCAGTACTTCAGAACTGTAGCTGTAGCATTATGTGATCATTAAGGCTGCCAGAAAATCACAGCTTTTACTCTGAAAACTAGAACAAAATGCCTTCTTCCCAGAACAGTCACTCCCCTCAAAGCATCCCCGGCATTTTCAGATTAGCTGGCCATTTGAGTTTGATTTCCAAATGAACTGCTCTGATCTACCAGGATACAGGAAACCTTTGATAATCAATTAAGACCATCAAAGCTAACAGCCACCAGATGTCATAAAGCTCAACGGCTCCCTAGTACAGAAAATGAGGCCCGCTGTCCCCACCCTGTAATCTGGAGACAGCTCCCCCTCCCCCACCCCAGCACATCTCTAACCTCTCAAAAGGGATAGTAACTACAATTCTACCATGCCAGTCACCACTACCTTTTGGCTCCAGACAGGACGATCGATATTCCAGCCTCTTAGAAAACTTTATCTTGCTGTGTATCTCACTAATTCCAGAGAGAACAAGATCAAGAACAAAATCCTTTACTAACGACATGGTCTTCACATAGCAGGATTCATAAAGACCAGAGGAAAATAGAGACAAAAACAAAACAAACCCCCAAACATCAAAGGACCCCCCCCAAAAAACCCCAGGGCTATGTTGGAGCAAGGCAGGGAGGGTCTTCTTAGGAACTTTGTAGACCTACAGAGTGGGCAGGGGCATGGCAAACATGGGAGACAGTACATGCAGCTTCGGGCAAGATGCTAAGCACCGTTTCTAGTCAAAGACAACATAAATACACCTGGTGGTGGACGCCTCATCTGTAAGGCCATATCACTGCCATGGAGCGGTGACTCGATGGTTACCAGTGCCGGCTGCTCTTTGCATAGAACCCGGAACTCAGGTTTGGTTCCCAGGACCCACATGGTGGCTCACAACCACTTGTAACCCCAGTTCCATGGGACCAAGGCCTCTTCTGACCTCCAAGGGCACTGCATGCATGCGGTACACAGATACGTAGGCAAACAGCCACACATATAAAATAAATGAATCTTAAAAAACAAAAAGTCAACAACTGGGAACAAAAATGATGTGATTCAGTCATAATGTTAGCGCAAGGTTAGGAAATAAAAAAAAAAAAAAACTTGTAGGACTAAGAATACTGGGAACGAGAAAAAGGCTTAATGAAAGCAGAGACTTTTTTTTTGGTTGTTGTTTTTCTTCCCCAGACAGCGTTTCTCTGTGTAGCACTGGCTGTCCTGGAACTCACTCTAGACCAGGCTGGCCTTGAACTCTGTCCTCTGTCCTCTAGCCTCTGTCAAGGAAATTTGTTCTTTGGAGACAAATCAGAGGTATGACTAGACCATTCTAAATTCTCAGCTTATACTCACTCCTAAAAAAGCATGTAACATCACGACAGGCATGTGCTAACATTCTCAAACCAAAGATTTAGAAAGCACAGAGAAAAACAAATCAACAAAGGAGACAGCGCCAGCCTTTTCTCTGCAGGGAAGTTACCTCTCAGACTTACGACACAGTTTTATTCTCATTATTGGAGGTGGGGTGGGAGTGAACACAACTCAAATGCAAAACCCACTCGATTCGTCTCCTTACAAAGACTTCAGATTTTTATTTAATATGAATAGCATGTGTCTGTGCCTATGTGACAGAGAAGGAGGGGTGGGAGGAAGGAGACAGACAGACAGACAGAGACACAAGTGGGGCACACTCACATGCCACAGTGCTTGTAAAAAAGTTCCGGGGACAGGTTCTCTTTTCACCGTGGGTTCTGGGAATCAAACTACAACTGTCAGGTTTGTGTGGCTGCTGCCTGCCAGCCCATCTGCTCCTTCTTATTTATTTTTATCTGCATCTTACTCTCCTATTATTGTGCATGGGCTGTAAGGCCTACATTTGTAAAGAATGCCAGATCCTTCTGTACCAGTTCAGTAGTGAAACACAGTAAGAAGCACAAACAGTGACTGTCTGCTGATCTCAAACCGTGACAAGCAAGAGGAAAATATCTGAGAGGAGAACATGATTTTGGAACTTACCCCCATGATTTCCGTTAATGAACATCCTCCAGGGTTTACATTTATTTTACAAGTGTACAGTAATAAATTTCAGCCCTTACTTACCTCTAACAAGCGCGGAATCCAGCCTTTTCGATACCCGTATGGGGGAGGCTCCCTTCTAGAGGAGACCAGTGAGGTCTGCCGAGATCTCTGAGATCTTGCTCTTTCTTCAGCTTCAAGTTGGTCCTGAGATAGTTGAGTGGGCGCAGGTAAAAAGCTACAGGAAACCAGAAGTAAATACAAAGTACAGAATTAAAAACAAAACACATTTAGTTATTACAATTCAGCTACAATTTTCCTTTGTTCAGCCAATAGACTGTTCAGTGATTTACAGAAGCATTCAGTATTTATCACTTTCTTGTGTGTGGAAAGGAAGAACTTCAAGACACACTGAAACCCCTTCCTTGACTATATCAAGGGCAAATGGTTTTCAGACTTAAAAACAGGTATTTTTACACAGTTGACAAGCTACCGAATTCTGCACTTCCATACTTTACACAGAAACCAATCACCGTTTCCTAAGATCCTTCCTGACTTTTGTTTTAACAAGGTCTAGTTGGGTAGCCCAGGATGGTCTTGAACTTGCCACCCCACCGGATGGCCTCAGCCTCTAGAGCTGAGTTTATAGATAAATGTTAACACCACTGTGCTTTCCTTTTTTTGAGACAGACAAAAGATTGCACCACCAAGCCTTTAATGTTTGTCATGGCACTGCCGGAAGTCAGGACAACTTGTGAGAGTTAGGTCTCTCTTTCTACCATGTGAGTCTCATGGATTATTTATTGGCAGGTGCTTTTATTCACTAAGACATCTCTCACTGGCCCTGTACTCCAAACTTTTAAGCTACATTCTAATGCTTTAACCAAGCCATAGCATTTATTATCTGGATGCATTTTCAGACACATCCTACCAAATAATAAACAGAACACATTACACCAGATACATGATGTACTTTTCCCATACACCAAGCAAACAAGTGATGCTCCAGAAGACTATAGCTGGGCACTGCCTAATACCTAATTCGATTCAGATCCCAGAGACTGAGGACTCAATCCCACAAAACTGCCTCTACTTCCAATGACAACTGCCAAGATTTGGTCACCAATACTTTTGTTCCACTTGCTACAAACTGGGGTCCCTAAGGTTCCCCCCCCCCAAGACATGGTTTCTTTCTGTAACAGTCCTGCTGTCCTAGAACTAGCTCTGTAGCCCAGGCTGGCCTCGAACTCAGAGACCTGCCTGCTTCTGTCCTGCCCCCTTACCACCGCTCCACTGTTGGGATTAAAGGCAGCCACTGGTGGCAGGAGTAGCTGAAATATAGAGACATAGCAGCCACCAGCAACTCTGAGGTCATACCTTACATTAACAAAGGCCACAGGGGAGAAGGTTCTGAGCTCAGCCTATTAGTGAAGGGATAAGGCGTGGCTAACCTCTATAGGTGCAGCCTCTGGGACCCAGCTCCCTCCCCTTACCCCACTTGCATGGCCAGGTAGGACAGCTCTAGAAACTAAAACAAGCAAACAAACAAAACCCCCAACACATCCATTTGGTGACACTTAAAAAAATACATGTTTATTTCATTTTCATGTGTACGAGTGCTTTGCCTGCGTATATATCTTCAGACTAGGAGAGGGCGTCAGATTCCTAACCTATAGTTATGGATGGTTGTGAGCCACCTCTTGGGTGCTGGAAACTGAACCTGGTCCTCCAAGGGAGCAGCCAGTGCTTTTAACCACTGAGCTGTTTCTCTAGTCCACACCTGCTAGTCCTTATAAAGGACATTGAAAACTCTTAATGAATGCCAGCTGAGGGCTTTATGCTCCCCAAGGCTGGCCATTTTGAGGCCTCACTTTTTGTCATCGCTTCATTAGGCACACAATGGTGTGTGAATGCCACACCCCTGGGACTGTTGTTGAATGCATTCATTTCAAAATCTACCTTTCCCCTCATTATCCTACCACTCTCTATCACTGTGCCTGAAGAACACTCAAATGCTTGCTACCTGTAACATTTCAGTCTGCATAATAAAGCTAGTATTACACAAGTAAGCATTTTCTGTTTGTTTTAATTTCACTTCTGTTGCTGTTATTAAAATTCTCTGGCCCAAAAAAAAATATTTTAAAGGAAGAGGGGCTTATTTGGCTTACAATTCCAAGTCACAACCCATCAAGGAATGTTAAGGCAGCAAGTCAAAGGCAGCTAGTGAAATCTCACAATCAAAAGCAAGAGACTTGCTTTCTTGCAGAAAAGGAAGCAGAGAGGCAGGCAAGGCACCATATGAAGTGCTCCATGGTTGGAGCTCATCTAGCTTTAACTTTCAGGCCCACTTGCCTAGAGAATGGTGCTGCCCATAGTGAACTGGCTCTTCCCGCATCGATGAGCAAGAAAAACCAATCCCCTATAGACATGTCTACAGGCAACTCCTCATCTGCTAACTTTTTATCAGGTGTTTTAAGTGGACAGGATAGCTATTCTGTCTTCTTTTCTTTCCTTTTGGTCTTAAACCCCAAGCCGTATTGGCCTTGGAACTCAGAGATCTCCTGCCCGCACTGTTTTCCTCTGTGTATCTATTTGTCCATCTTTCCAGTAGCAAACAACAACAAAATTCTATTCTATATATAGCAGGGCAACGAACAGTAATTCGCGGGCCCAAAACATTTTTAGGGTCCGTACTGTTACATGCCAGGGAAAATATGAGAAGTGGTTTTAACAGGTGAAAGACAACGTCCTAAAATGAATACTTGCTTTACACCCAATCAGACTTTTCCTGCTGAGTTCGCATGGAAAGTTTTTCCACTTGGAGCAACTACAAGTTACGTAACTTTTTGGGAAATCTCCCACTTAGCATCTTTTTCTTAAAGGATGGGAGCACTGTACATACGGTAACCAAGGCAACCAGGAACAGCAAAAGTCGGAGGTGGTTCTAAGTACAAAAGAAATTCTAAGGTTCAAAGTTAAAGCGCGGAGCATTTAGTAAACAGCAGCCCCTACTGTTGCCAATTAAAAACAACAACAACAACAAAAATTGGTCGGTTCTGGGACATGCCCAATTCTTCCTCCCGCCCCCAAAATCTCTGTTTCGGAAAAGAGAGTAGCTGGAGAAGGGAAAACTCACAGCATACGAGAAAGGCACGCACAAAACTGGCGCGCTTTGCTCAGCAGGGATAAACCAGCCACTGCTTTCCCCCGCGCATCCCTTCCACCTCAGCTGGGGTCCGCACCGCGCTCGCCAACCTGCCGCGCTGCTTACGCGAAGCACACGTGAGTTCCTCCGCGCGAAGCCACGCCGTGGCTCTCAGCCCCGGGGAATGGGCGAACTCAACCCGGGAAGCCTCTAAAGAAAGACCCCGGCTTTGGCGCGGCCTAGTCTCCAAGGAAGCCCGCGAGAGGTTCTAGCCATGTTCTCGGCCACAGTCCCTCTGTGTCCCAGGCCAAGTCACTGTCCGCGCAGTCGGGGCAGAAAAAAGGAAAAGATGGGTACTCCCAGACCCTTCCGTATCGAGGACCCAAATCAACAACCCACCTGGTGAGCGCCATCTTCTTCCGCTTCTTCCAGCGCAAGCCACAGCGTCGCGGGGCAGGTCTTACCCGGGAACGAGGAACACAATGGAAGAAGTGCTTACTGCGCAGGCGCTCTGGCCGAAAGGCCCTATGGGCTTTGTAGTTCTTTGGGCGGGAATTATGCTGGCCTTTCTCAATGAAAGTAATTTTGGAGAAACAAAACTCTCCTAACAAAGGAAATACCTTACATTTATAGATTTTATAGGGGAGAAGCTCTCTGAGTTTATCAGATCAGTAGTAATGACACAAGATAGGATATAAATCCATAATTTGAGCTGGGCAGTGGTGACACACTCCTTTAACCCTAGCTCTCCAAAGGAGGAAGGCGGGTCTCTGTGAGTTCCAGGACAGGCTCCAAAGCTACACAGAGAAACTCTGTCTCGAAAAACAAAACAAACAAGCAAACAGAACAAAACAACAATTGAAAAAAAAAAAAAAAACCTCAATGTTAAGATGAAAGCTTCACCCCAGTCGCTGGCATCCATATACCCAAAGAGTCGGGAATGTTATGGTGGAAGTTCCACCCAAGTCTCCCACATCTCCTTCCAAACCTTGCTGTGTCTCAGAAAGCCTGCCAAAAGAGGACCCCACCCCGGAGCAAATATACTCAAGACCACTCCCACAGGGTATTTAAACTGTTCCCCAGAGCACAGACTTTTTTTCTGGTCTTTTCCTCTTCTCTCCAGGGATCGGGAAGGCTGTCCCGAAGCTCTGTATCCAATAAACGTGGGCTTTTTCTAACTCGGTTTTATTTGGTGTGATTTGGATTGCTGTATTGGCAGAGAGGTTTATCACGGTGTAGAATTTTTTTACTCAAATTCTAAACCGGAAACTTTGGATAGCAAATTTAGGAAGGTTTGCAATCACTTCAAGGCTGTGTGACTCATTCGTTTATTTGCTATAGATTTCAATTGTTCTTGATGATATTATTGTAGGGTCTGGGGTCATAATGCTGTCCTTATTGATGCTTTACCATGGTTCTCTGGTACGAGGTAGAGTTTCTCTGCTTGTCTTTTTAAGATGTCTTTCACAGATGCTTCCAAACTTAAAATTAATTTTTTTTTTTTTTTTACAAAGTATTGGTTTTCATTAAAAGTATGGTTTAAAAAGGCTAGGCTGCAAAAGAAAAAACACTGAAACTTTACAACTTTAGCTATCTTCTGGTTGGTATCACTAGTCACTGGATAGTCTGAAACTAGGTTTATGTAAGAGGTATATCTCTAATTTTCTTTTTTTCTTCGTTTGAGACAAAGATGTTCTCATTATATAACTCTGGCTGGGGCTTGAGATCAACTGCGTAGAAAAGGCTAGTATTGAACTCACAGAGATCCATCTCCCTTTGCCTCTCCAGTGCTAGAATTAAAGGCATGAACCTCCATGCTCAAGTGGTATTTCTACTTTTCTTATCAAGCTAGGCCAAATTTCCAGTTCAGAAAAAATTCAGGAAGTAGTTTGTTTTTTGAGACAGGGTTTCTCTTCAAAGTCCTGGCTGTCCTGGAACTCACTCTGTAGACCAGGCTGGCTTCAAACTCAGAGAGCCACCAGTCTCTGTCTCCTGAGTGCTAGGATTAGAGGTGTGTGCCACCACTGCCAGACCAAAAGACAAATTTTTAAAACTCAAGGAGAAACATAAAGGTCTAGAATGTGATAAATTACATAAGATATCTGACTTCAACTCTTCAGAAATGTAAATACAGGGTTGGAGAGATGGTTCTCAGGGAAGGAGGGCTTGCTGTTTTTAATAGAAGTTCAGAATTGGGTTCCCAGTCCCCACACTAGGCAGCTTCCTCACAACTGCCTGAAACTCTAGCTTAAGACATCTTTTCCTCTCGTGTATGCATGCATATACACACAGAGAATATACCTACATACTTACATATACCCATAAGTAAAAAATGAAAATAAATCTTTAAAAAAGCAAACTTCAAGGAGACAAAAAAAAAAAAAAAAAAAAAAAAAAAAAGCATCAGATGTTATCCATGGATGGGAAAGGAAGATGACTGTTAGGTTGAATGTGTGTTGAAAAATGAGGAATGGTGATAGTTGTAAAGCTCTGTGAATAGACTTCTGAAAAACTGGGTGTGGCAGCACATGCCTTTAATCCCAGCACTGGAGAGACAGAGGCAAGCAAATCTCTTGTGATTTCAAAGTAAACCTGGTATACAGAGTGAATTCCAGGACAGATAAGAGTTACACAGAGAAACCCTGTCTCAAAAAATAAAATATAAAAAATAAAAAAACCCCTCTGATCTGTAGATTTTTAAAAAATAATTGTTTAGAGGTTGTTTTAGTGTATGCCTGTGAATGTTTTGCTTGCACATATGTAAGTGGGATTCGTGCATACTTGTTGCCCATGAAGGTCAGAAGAGGGAACCAGATTGCCTGAAACTAGATTTCAGACTGTTCTAATCTGTCATGTGATTGCTGGGAACAGAACTCAAGCCTTCAGAAAGAGCCCCAAGTGCTCCACAGTCAGGAGATTTTCTTAAAAGGCAAATAAATTTGGGAAGTGGTGGCACTCCCAGCTCTTGGGAGGCAAAATCTTTTAGTTCAAGGCCATCCTGGTTTACAGAATGAGTTTCAGGATAGCTAGGGCTACACAGAGAAATCCTGACTCTTTAAACACACACACACACACACACACACACACACACGCACACACACACACACACACACACACACAGAAAAATAAACAGCAAAATAATTTGTTTACATAAACTAATTAATTATTTTTGTTTTTCAAGATAGTGTTTCTCTGTGTAATAGTCCTGGCTATCCTGGAACTCATTCTGTAGACTAGGCTGGGATCCCCGGCCTCTGTCTCCCAAGTGCTGGGATTGAAGGTATTTGCCACCACCACCCAGCTAATTTTAAAACTTTATTCATTTACTTACTTATTTTTTTGATACAGGGTTTCTCTGTGGCTTTGGAGGCTGTCCTGGAACAAGCTCTTGTAGACCAGGCTGATCTCGAACTCACAGAGATCTGCCTGCCCCTGCCTCCTAAGTGCTGGGATTAAAGGTGTGTACCACCACTGCCAGGAATTTTTAAACTTTATATGTATGGCTCTGTTGCCTTCCTTTATGTCTGTGTATGTACTGTGTGAATGTCTAGTGAGGCCAGAAGTAAGATTTCCTGGAACTAGAGTTGCAGACAGTTGTGAGCTGCCATGGGATACTGGGAATTGAACCCAGGTACTCTTCAGTTCTCCTAGTTTGTTTTATTTTATTTTAATTGTAGGGGTTTTGTTTGGCATTGAGTTATCTGGTAGTTTTATGCTTTAATGTGCTCTCACACACTCAGGAGTATGTTTAGATTTTGACTTATTAAAATTTTCCACCACTAAAAAAAAATCTTTCATATCTTCTAATAACATTCTGAAGTTGGCTTTCCATAGATTGTACACATCTCTCAGGATATGAATCCTTAGGTATTTCATCTTTTTCTCTATCATGAGTACAATCTGTTTTTATATGATTACTAAGTAATCATATAAATTATATATTATATTATATATATTATATCATATATATAATATATTATATATGCTATATATTATTAAGTAAGCCAAAAATGTTCTGGAATGTCAAGAATCAAGTTTTGACTGAAGAAGGCTTAGAGTTGGGGTCACCTTGCGTTGGCTGAGACTCGATCCTATAAATCCTTTGGACTGAGCTGTTCTTTGAGTGGGTGAGTAGGAGAAAAGTGTTTCTATTGGCTGCTTCCTCTCAAGCTCCGAGAGTTCCTGTTTAAAAGCTCTGTGGGACTTGCAGACCCCGTTTCTTCCCAGGTATAATTATTCCTTTGGAACACTGGCTCTAATCTTAAGGGGACATGGAACACAAGGATCTAATGGGGGTGAAGCTTTAGGTCCGAGATAATGATTCCTTTTTCTATTGAATAGCTTAGCAGGGGAACAATTAACCCTTTGTTCTGAGCCCTGTCATTAATTTTGATCGTTTTCATTACTATCCAGTGTTCTGTGGCTCAGAAGGCAGCCATGTAATATCTGAGCCCACTCCTTTACTGTCTGTTTGCTTTCCTGTAGTAATAAGATAGATACCCTATTCAATCAGCATAAGCTTGCCTGTGAGCAGAGGATCTGCAGAGGTGTGGTGTAGATGGCTTGGGTTTAATTACCCTGAAGGGAAAATCAGTGATACAGTAATACTGGTTATTGGGCCGGGAAGGTGGCTCTACAGACAAAGGCACTTGCTGTTAAGCCTACAACCTGAATTGATTCCAGAGACTCACATGGGGGAAGGAGAGAATAGATTCCTGAAAAGTTCCCTCTGGTCTGCACTTAGGCTTTGTGGTGGGTGGGTGCCTGCAGGGATCCAGAGCTTGCTTCTCATCTCTATTGGTATCAGACATGTATGTGATGTACAGATACAAAACATCCATACACACAAGCAAACAATTTTTTTAGTTAATTTTTTTTTTTTTTTGAGACAGGGTCTCTCTGTGTAGCTTTGGCGCCTGTCCTGTAACTCACTCTGTAGACCAGGCTGGCCTCTAACGCACACAGAGCAGCCTGCCACTGCCTCCCGAGTGCTGGGATTAAAGGTCTGTGCTACCCCTGCCCGGCCTTCTTTAACAATTTATTTATTGTGTGTATTATGCATGTAGAGGTCAGAGGGAACTTTCGGGAGTCAGTTCTCTCCATGTACGGTGTGGATCCTGAGCTTCAAACTCAGCTCATCAGGTTTGGAGGCACACAATTTTACGTGGAGATAGAGCATCATATACATAAAGTAAATAAAAGAAAGAAACTAGTTTATCTGGGGCAGGTGGAATTTTCCCACTTCATGTTTCTCCAAACAACCCACCTCTAAACACCTATTCCTAACAAAGGTAAATTTTAAAGGTAAATTTAAAGGTAATAAAGTGCAATAAAGAGACATTTATACACGAGACTGTTTCTTGGGGAGGGAGCCAGAAAACTGAAGAAGGAAGGAATCTATCTTCTATCTAAATGGATAGGACTAGATTTGGCCCATAGGAAAATATGATGTTCAAGACTGAATTCAGTTTACCACTCACTAAGTTGGCTGGAACCAAGCAGACAAAAACAA